GTACTTTATCATTTATTTCATCAATTTGTAATTGCATTTAACCATTTGGCAAATGACTGATTCCATTCCATTTTCAACTATGAATTTAGCTGCTAGCTTCATGTATTTTCATTTTTCATCAAATTTAGTTTTTAATTTATTTCTAATCATAAATAACTTTCCATTCATCACAAAGGTTTATAATATTATTTGGTTTTATTTGAAAAATACAGCGGAAATTTAAATTTCTTTTCTTTTTTCATTGCATTAATATTCGAAAATCATTGATTACTTTCTATTTGTTGATACCACCGGAAATTGTAATCCTGAAATTTGGACTGTATGAAATTTTGCTCTTGGTGATATTAATAGATAGACCGCTGCATGAAAGATTTTTCAGGAAAAAGTTCGTGAAAATGAATGAATTTAGAGTTTTACATTAAGAAATTCTATGTAATTTCAATTTGACGATAACACTTAGTCAATGAGTTACTTTTGAACTCATTTTAGTGCCTTAATATGTCAAAATTTTCACAGATTTTTGAGGAATTCAAATTCAACAATCCGAATTTCACCGTCTTTAATCTCTTTTCTTTTGCACTAAGAATTATAACGAACATTTTTAAGTAAATATCTGTCATATCTTTAACCAATAATTTATCTAATTTATTAAGTGTCAAAGCTTTTTTTTCTTTTCAGAAATGTTAATTTTACTAAAACTGCTTAAAACATTTAAATAGCTTTTAAATTTCAAAAAAATGAATTCATTTTAAAAATTAATAATAATAATAATTTAATTGTTTCAGATGTTTAATTAGCCAAAATCAAACCTTTGAATAAATTTTGAATAAAAGCACAATTTTCCAGTGAAAATTGCAAAAAAATTCAAAGATTTTGTTTGAATATATGAAGGAGAAAGAACTTATAGGAAAAATTCTCTCACAATTTTCTTTTCTATTAAAAGTAAAGCTAAAAGAGAAAAGAAAAATGACAGGAAATGGAAGACTTTTTTTCAGAATGCCTGGCAAATTGTACTTTTAAATAAGGCAGTTGCCATCAATGATTTCTCTATTCCATGAGAATATATTCCGCATTAATACGCAAATACGTGAGAATATATTCCGCATAAATACGCAAATACGTGAGAATATATTCCGCATAAATACGCAAATACGTGAGAATATATTCCGCATAAATACGCAAATACGTGAGAATATATTCCGCATAAATACGCAAATACGTGAGAATATATTCCGCATAAATGCGCAAATATGTGAGAATATATTCCGCATAAATACGCAAATACGTGAGAATATATTCCGCATAAATGCGCAAATATGTGAGAATATATTCCGCATATTACAAACAAATTGAATTGCAATGAAATTTTTTCTTTGTCAACTGCGATGATATAAGTTTAGAAATGATTTTTTGGAGAGAATTGTTTGTCAGTTAACTGTAATTATTTAATCATAAGTGGCATTAATAAACAAATCATTTTTGTTTTTCACTTTTTTTTTTGCATTTATTCTCACTATTATGAATGAATGATTTTATTAATTCTAACTCTCTTAAACTGTCTTCTTTCACCTACATTTTAGCAATTTTTAGAGCATAAAAAACAATTCTTGCTTTTTAAGATTTAATCCGTAAAGATCTTTAGAGAAATGAAAATGTAGTAAGGAAAGATGTTTGAAAAAGTTGATCAGATCAATTTTAAATTTTATTACTTACTTTAAGTCTCTTTTATCTCGATACTCTTATTTTTAAGATCTACACTGTTATTCAAACAAATATTGCTAAAATATTTACTATACGTTTACGTATTCACGTAAACTTATAGCGTTCTGCGTTTTTCAATCAAACAATGAAAAATCGATGATCTTAAACAAATTGACAGTATATTTAGTGGTTTTGAGAAAAGAAGTGAAATAATTTTGGAGAACGGATAAATAACAAAAATTTATTGCGTAAGAAACTTGTTGACTTGGTTTCTTTCATATTCCTTCGCTCCAATGATCTTCGGGAGCTATGAAATATTTTTAATTGACTTTACGAGCTCTATCTCTGTTAGCATAGAAGCAATAGGCTAAAGGTCAACTCATTTATGCGGTATTTATGGTTAATAGATAATTTAGCTTTTAGAATCATAAGTGCTGTCCTTTTTTACTTCAGATAGTTGACATTTTGAAAAATATAAAAAAAAATTAGTGACGTGAAATTGGTCTAAAGAGAAAGGACTAAAAGCCATAGACTCATTCATTAACAATTTCTTATGAAAGGCAAGGATGGTTAGCTTTAGCTTTTTACCCTTTAAACTTTAACTTAAAAGTTACAACAACTAATTTCCTTCTTTTTTTCCTATATTTTATAATTTCACAAGTAACTTTCATCAGTTTAGGCTTAAGAAATGTAAAGAAAATATTTGTTATACGTTTAGCATATGCTAATATAAGACGTTTAGTAAATTATTTTTTGAATTTGACTTCATTTCATAGTGACACTTTTCCAAATATGATCTTTTATTCTAATCACTTTTGAAATTTATTTTCTAAATATAATCTTCCACTTTGTTCACTTTTATTTTGAAAACACAAATTCGTTGCATAATTCAAATTAATTTTAATTACTATTATAATTTACAACTATCACTTTTACTCTTAACAAGTCCAAAAAAAAAATTTTTTTTTTTTTTACATTGCAGTAGGAATAGAACGTTTAGTCTAAAGTAACAATTACTCTTTTCCGGCTATTACTTTTCCGGAGTATAGCGCTCTACTGACTTGATTATATCTTTCAGGATTTCTCCATGTCTTCTAATCATTCCCATTCCTTTTCGCTACTAAACCTTCTATGACAGTCCTCAAAAGTGCATTGTTATTTTATCAGTTAATTTATTTAATTTCTATAATTAAAGCGCAAAATGAACAGCTTAGAATATTATTGCATTGATCATTAAAATTCCTATTTCTTTTTTTTAATGGCATAATTTACATGTAATTATCGCAATATTTTCAACAAAAATTAGCCTTATAATACTTTTTTGTCTTTCGTTTCTTTTTCTTTTTTTTTTTTTTTTGAAATTGTTGACACTAACATTTAGATCAAACATCAACCATATTATGTATGCTTACATACACGCACATGCACACATACAAGCAATCTTAAAATGGCTAATTTCAAAAAATGAATTGAAATGAATCGAATAAAGAAAATTACTTCAATCGCCAAAATTCTATCCGTCTGTAATAGCAAACAAAGAAGAAATAACTTGCATATATTGTTTCAAATAGTCATTTAATTTCAAAAATTATCATTTAAATAAAGATTAATTTAAGTTATGAGAAAGTGAACATTTAAAGTAATCATTTCTTGGCCATTTTGAAATTTAATTCCATGAAAGCCTCAAATAAGATAGTGGCATTAAGCAGTCATTAAAGCATTCCAGTAGTTGGAAGTATACAAATGGATCTATCTAATGGACCAAAATAATTGCTACCTCATTTTACCAAAGCTTTATCAACCTATTATTTTTCTTCCTTCGTTAAACTATATTTTTCCAATTATTATACAATGAGGGATGTAATTGGTACTCTATTCATTGCAATAAAATTTATTCGTTCCATAAGTTATTGTGCATTTTTTAGTTTCAAGAAATATGTAAAGATTTTAAAATTAGTTAATCTTTTTTTTTTTTTAATATGACTGCAAAAATATGGCTAATAAGACGTAATTAGAAATGAAATGAATTATTCTGGAAAATAAGATAATCAGACAGAATTGACTTATTTAATATTAGACTTTCAAGAAATGATAAATCATATTTTCTAGTTAATTCAGAAAAAATTATCACACCTGTATCCTTTTTTTTTTCTTACGTTGTATATATATTTATTATCTTTAAAATATTACTAGTATGTTTAAAGAGGAGATGAACTTTGTGCTATTTGCGCCTAATTTGCATAGCACTCCTTTTAGTTACATTTCTTTTATCAATAAATTAATTATTTTACTTTGAGTTTTGTTTATGTTTGTTAAAAGAGATTATAAAAACTTAGGTTTTCATTAAATTCTTTATTCTTCTTAATAAATTAGTTTCACTACTATAATTGTTAATGAAATTTACTATTACATGCTAATATTTAAAATTTAGAAAGAAACTTTCTAATTAGTTGTGAAATCTGTTCGAAAAATTTTTTTAGTCCGAGTAAAAAAATGGATTAGTAAGAATCCAGTAACATTTGTTTGCCATATTGTCATGATTTATGCATTTGCCAAAAGTAAGTGATAAACAAGATAGATTCATTTTATTTATTTTCATCCATTTAGTTTGTTTCCTGTTTGGCTGTTTTCAGTATTAGCTCTGTTAAACAATCCTCATTCTATGAATCCACATCTTATCATATGTTAATTTGTTATCATTTGTTATCAGCTATTTACAGCATGATTTCCTTTTTTTCTTAATTTAAATTATTTGCTCAATTTCGAATTTTCGTTTTCTAACTCTCTAATTTAGTCCGTACTTCAATAAGTATTTATTAGCGAATAACAAATACTTATCTTTCGTTTCACTCAATATCAAATTGAAATTATGAAGAAAAAAGTATTAGATTAAAATGACTGATAGAGAAAGTATTCTAAAATTTGATAATAAATCAAAATATCTGACAGCTAAAAGTTTTACTTAAAACTTCATGAAATGATGATATGAATATTTTCTTATTGTTTAAAAACGGCATGATCATAAGAAGCTCTTATGTAAAACGTGAAATATTCACTTTATATTTGTGTACGGTATAAATTTGTCCCATATTTACGTAAATTTACGTACATCATTTTTGACGTCATTGTTAAACTTATCAATCAAATATTTACATTTGAAAGAATCAAACATCAAATATTCAAAACATTTATGTATTCTAATTAGTTTATATTAAATGCCCACAATTATATGCTTTATAATAGAAGTGGTAGGTAGAACAATTTCTCTTTGCTAATGATTTATAAATTATATAAAGTTTATGAGCAGTGATTGTCTTCTAATCAATGCTTATCAGTCAATGCATTCAGAGAAGAATGTACTGTGGTTTGTTTGTTTTTTTTTTTTTTTTGGCGCACTTCTATTGATAATAATAAAAAGAGATATAAACTTGCATCATTAAAAAGAATTAAAGATATTAAAGCAAAACAAAGTATTCCAAAATTTTTCTAATAAATTGAAATATGTGATGCTTATATGATGTAGCTATTACTTAAAATTTATATAAAATAAACTGATATGAATGTTTTCTAATTTTAATAATTGATACTAGTCAATTGGAAAATAAAACATTTTAATATATGCTAATTTAAATTAACATTTATAGTGTAGCATTTCTATGTAAAAAAAAAAAGAACCAATAATTACGACTACTTTTTGATCTTATTTTGACATTGTCGGAAAATTGCGAAGTCCATTCCACAATATTAATAATAACGATGTATTCAAATGACATCATCAGATATTCCTTCTAAGCCTATCTGCCACTTCTTTACATCATTAAATATGCAACATCTGAATTCTTTAAAAAAAAAAAAAAAAATAGATTTGCGTATAGTTTTAAAATTGAAACTGAATTGAACTAATAATAGCAGTTCATGAGTGGTACAGCATGACTCATTTACTCATCTAATCATTCATAACATATCGACGATATTTGTTTGATTGAATTGAAAGAGTGCAGAATAATTGCGCCCAAACGACATAATAGCATGATAGAAAGAAATGTGAAATAATTGCTATATTAGTCAAATTATCGCTATTAAATAGAAGTTTATGAAGAAAGAAACAGAAATATTTCATTTGTTCCATTCATTTTTCTTTTTACTAAATTTATTTTTTTAGATTCTTCCATCTTATTTCACTCATTTTCCTTCTTCTTCACTTTTTTTTTTTTAAATTTTCAATTAAAAAAGAGTATATAAATTCTTTTAATTTTTCCTTCTTTTTCCCTCTCTCTTTTCTTCTCTTTCTTAAATCATTCATTATTATTAGATTGGTGGTATTCAGATTACGATGATGTAATAAGTTTAATTAAATATTATACTTGCATGCTATTAACAAAATTTATTGGATCAAAAGTAATTATTAACTAAAGCGCAAATGTCATATTTTTGTTCCTTCAAATATTTTTCTTTTTTTTTTTTTGTTCAATTAGAGAACAACTGAGAATTGATTGTAATATGCCTTCTGCTGTGATAAGAACTATTCTATAACCATACGAAATCATATAATAATTATTATCATTATGGTTATCATCATCATTGCTGTCATCATTATTATCATCATTGTCATTGTCATTGTCATTGTTATTGTTATTGTCATTCTCATTAGATCATTCTCAATATTAATTTATCATTCATCAAAATAGATTTCAATTCATTATCTTTTTATTAAAAATTTAATGCAAAGCAATTAACGCTTACTCATTGAGTGTATTTACTTGTTTAAGTTTAATATGCTAAACTTGAAAACAATCTATTTTTATAGATCCCAAAAATTCATTCAGTTTTCCATTTTCTACTAGCAATTCTGGCCTTCACTTTAGCTACACTTATGGCAACGTACGATCAAAATTTGTTAAAAACTTAAGCAATCTTCAAATTCAGCGACATCACATCAAATATCTAAACGATCAATTATCAATTCAGCCTCAAAATTCATTTCAGTAAGTTGCTATTTATAAACTACTAAAATAAGATAATGAAATAATTAGTCTCAAAGTGCAAATGACAGATTAATTAATGTATGACTACAAATTTTTTTTGCAAAATGATATAGTCTGGAAGTAGTATTGAGAGTATTAAGGTAAAGTTCAAATATCGATCACAGAAATTGCGGAATACAACTTTCAAGTTTTTTTCATTTCAGTGCATTTTCCATTTTATACAGCAGTAATTCTTCTTCAATTAATTTCTTCCAAAAATTCATTTTAATAAAACAAAATTTTGTGAATAAAAAAATTTGTGTGACTTTACAGAGATGAGTGTAACTTTATCTCATATTAGACTGATCGAGAAGTGCAGCGTATAATGCGCAAAAATAGTATCACATTTTTTTTTTTTTTTCGACTGTATTTGTCCATACTTATTCATTTGAAAGCAAAACAATAATTAAATTGCTATATGCTAATAGCACTTGCAGAAATTCCTTAGCTCAAGTCTTTTTCTCTTTTTTTTGTCAGAAATTTCAACAGTTCGAAAAAAAAATAAGCGCTAAAAAATAAATTTGTCAAAACTATTTGAGAATGGTTAAGATGAGGTTAATAGAAGATAAGTATGTAGCTTAGATGTGTCTGTGTGCATGTGTGTATGTGTGTGTGTGTGTGTGTGTGTGTGTGTGTATGTGTGTGTATGTGTGTGTGTATGTGTGTGTATGTGTGTGTGTGTGTGTGTATGTTTTGTGCATTTGTTGATGTATGGATTAGCAAAAGATAATTTAATTGTTGCAGGAATAGCAGCAATAGTTGTACCACTGAGCGCATAAGGCATCAATTTCATCGTGATCGATTATCATTGGAACGGAAGAAGTTTCCGCAAGTTGCGTGTTGAGACAGCACGTAGTAATCAAGAAAGTTCAACAAGTTCACTGTCAATCAATCAGCGAACATCCCTGATTACTGATATGTTCGCTGATGCAGGTTATACGGGGAATACTTTAGCTGATCAACTTCAGCTATCCAGGTTTGTATCAGAAGGTTTAAAATTTCAAAATTTGGAAAGTAACTTAAATCCTTCTATTCCATCTAGTAATCTTGAAAATTTTTATTTGCTTATTTCAAAGTAGTTAAAAAACGTGTATGTTTACGTGGAAGATATCAGCAATAAATAACAAGAAATGGAAATAAATGTATACGATTGATCATCAGAGATCAATCGTATGAGATTTGCAAATTTAATTTACATTTCAAGACTTGAAAACTTTGCACTTCTAAAAATATCACTTTTGAAAAAGATGAAATCATCCGTTACTTTCATTAGCAATTGCTGATTGAATATTATTTACTGAATAACTGCGTCTTTTGAAGCTGTATATTCCTCATTTCATTTCAATCGTCAGTACAAAAAAAAAAAAACCTTTTAAAAAAAAAAAAACAAATTGAAAAGTGTATTCTTTCCTACCTGTGCCTAATGATATAAACCATTTCAACTAGAAATACAACCATTAGAAAATGAATTTACAACTTCCAATCGCTTTTTCCTTTTTCAAATGATAATTTATTTTCCTTCCTAAGGAAATATACGAAATATTAAATAAAAATATCTTTCAGAATTATTTCATGCTAAATTGATGAAATTTCTAAACACAAAACTAAAAGTTAAATCGAAGTAAAAAAAAGCTTAAAATAGCGATGAAATAAAGAAGAAAAAAAAAAGAGCAATGGGTCTTATTCATATTATCATTTTGATGTGCTAAATATTTTCCATAAAACCTTAAAAAGTAATTGCAGCATCGAAAAAAAAAAAGGAAAAAAACTTGCAAAATAGAACTTTTCTGCTATTTTTGCATTCATAATAGTACATTCTTTTTAAATAAAAGAAGACGAAAGCAATGGTAAATTTTAGAGAATTAGTTGACACATTTACGGTTGAAATGATATACTGAAATGATATGATAATGTCAACATTAGTTATTTCCGAAAAGCATTTTATTTTCTCATAAAACTTTATTTCATTTCCTTTTTTTCTTTTTGTTTTCAGCTATCAAATTCATTTACTACAGCAAAGTTGGCAACGATTACGTTGCTCACCCAACTTTTTTATCAATGTTTTTCGGTGAGATTTTCAAACTTAATTAAAATACTATATCATACGAAACACCATAATTTAATAAAAAATTTCTTATTTTCAGGATTCAATCAAATTTAATCATTAAAATTCAATTTAAAAATGTTTCAAAAAATTTCAACTTGTTAACAATTAAACTTAATTTTTAAAGATCTAACGATTTATAATATACTAATAGAATGACTTCATATATTTTGTCCTTATGCATTGAAACTTTTTAACAATGACTAACTTATTAAATTAGCCAGAAATAAATTTCGAGAAATATTACCTAGTCAAATGTTAGCTGTTCAAGCATTTCTCACTCACATTTACACAGAAGATGTTATTTTTTCTCGATTTATTTTTATTATTTACTTTCCATACTATAATAAAATAATTTGGATAAGAAAAAGAGAATGCAATAATTCAGTTTTATTAAGTTTTAATTTCCATTATTCACTCTTTATTTCTTTCAGAAATCATTCAAAATAATAGCTAAAAGAGTAAAAATACCATCGTCCATTGCATATTTTGCAAAAAAAAAAAAATATTAAATAAAGATTTTGTTGTCTTTCATTTAATTATTTTCAGAACTGTAATTTCAAAAAATACAATAGCAAAAGAATTATTCCGGAAAACTTCAATTATTGATGGCTTCACATCATATAAATGTTACGATGTAAAGGAACATGCAGATAGCTTAATAGAGCTTATCGATTTCGCACTGCAAGAAATTCATAGTTCAATCAAAGTTGTACAGGTATGTATAGGTATAAATGGAAAAGTATAAACAAATTATTCAATTTAACATTCTATACTTTCTTCTCTAGCACTTACGATTTTTTTGATTAATCAATAATCAACCAATCAATCGATCAATAACATTATTAGTTCTTATGATTTTTCTTTTTTTTTTGCTAATTTTGTTAAATAAATTGCTGCTACATTATTTTTCTCCTAGTTAATAATAATCGTCAATTATAAGTAATTGCTTTATGTTATCAACTCTTGCTTACTGATTAATCAATGATCTTCCAGTCTTCATCTCCCATCTTCTCCGTATATTTTAAAAAATAGCAATGTTAAATCTTTAAATGATACTAATTAATTAATTTCTGCTTTAGGACCGCTGCATGTTAATGGGTGCAGCGCATTGTAATACATGCGAAAATTCGATGTCATCATCGTGGGATCAATTTGGCGATTCGCTAGCTGAATCAATCGCAAAAGCTGAAGCGATCCGCGGCAAACGTAAATGCTTAAAAGCGTGGAATGCCCTATTATCATTTATTGTAATCATTTATTTGTCTTTCAAATCTTTCCCATTATTCCAGCAGTCAATTAATCATTAGTAAAAAAAAAAAAACTACTGTTTTGCTGATAAACTGATAACTTGTAGTGTCCAAAGGACTAACTTTTAATGCAGCACTAATCTAAATAAATTTTTATAATTTTTAATCATTACAATAAAGCTAATCAGCATTGCTATTCTTCCTCACTACGACATCTAAAGTTCTTTCCTTTCTTACGTTTTTTACAGGTTGATCGTATTAAAGGTGGTTATTTGGCGGAAAGTAAACGTCGTGCATCAAAAAAGAGTTCAAGACAGGAAAACGCTGGTCCATCATCTTTAACAGCAACAGCTTCAATTTTAAAATATGACAATGCGACAACGGAGCAATCAACAACATATCATTAAAACATTCGAATTCATGCTTTCCATTTTCTTGCTGATCTCATTTCTGATTAAATTATTAGTCTATAAATAATATTGCTTATTTATTTTCATTTACATGTGAAAACTTTTTGAAATAATAAACTTAAGCATAGCTTATTGAATACAATTTAGCTATAAAATGCTAGCCATAGATAACTTAGCTTGGCAAACGATTGAACAAAGAATAATAAATCACTATGTGAACATATATGAATTGCAGTTGAATTAATTCATCAATTTGAAAACCTTATACACTCTCTGTATTGCACTAATTAATAATTTTTGATAAGTGGAAGTATTGCTGTACTCACACAAACAAAATTGGAATTCAACTGAATTAATGGAACTGTTTTGAATATAAATACAGAGAATGACCATCTTAAAATCAGCAAAATGTTTCCTTCATTTTCATAAAAGCAAACTTATAATATTGGCCACCTGTTTAATCATGGCCAACAAATTATTCTACTATCAGTTAAAGTACCACCTATTAATTATTGATTAATTATGATAAAATTGGGATTTGTATAATTGACTTGCAAATTAGTTTTCAAATTATTATTAAACTCATATGGGTTGGTATTGACGTACGTGTAAATGCAATGCACATTGGCAAAGACGTTAGCTTCAATGTAAAACGTCACTTGGCTTGCATATTTACAAAAATAACTTTACTAATTAAAAATTCCATTGAGCACTGCTCATGTGTTCCTTTCCTTTTTTACTTAGACAATTAAACAATTTCAATCAATAATTAAACAATTGGAATTACACAACTAAACAAGTTGGACTAAGCCATTAGGACAATTTGACTAACTGACGAAATATTTCCGTTTTGAACAATTTTCGACAGACAAACAATTCAAATTAAATAATTGAACAATTCCAATCAGAAAACTAATTAAGTAGAAGGATAATGTAGAAGGAACAAATTCCAGAACAATTTAAGGTTTTGAACACATTTAATTATTGTTTACATACAACAAATGATGTTTTCCTTACCAGCGAAAGATTAGAATTAAGAATGACATTTCGAACTGCTTATTATCATACATCTGGAAAATGAATCTTTCTCAAAGTCTGACATCTTTTAGTTTTTTCAAATTTTAAGTGTTCAATTTTAAATTAGTAACTGAAATCTCGGCACTTTATAACATAAGAAATTTTAAAACATATTATGATATTAGAAATTTCGACATTAGAAAATCGACATTTTATGAAGAAGATTTTCAAATTTTCAAATTATTGCAAATTAAAAAATGGGAAATGGCTCCTAGTAAACAATGTTAAAACATAACTTAGAGCTATCCATCTGTTCCACTTTAGGAGGAGTCCTAAATTAAATAATTTTAAAATTTGTAATAGTTTTTAATATCAGAAAGTTCTTTTTAGATCATTTCAGCATAATCTATTAATTTTGACTCTTAGTAATTTTATTAGCTACAACTCCTCCTCCCCCCGACTTCCTTCTCCCCCCAAAATATATATTTTATTAGATATATCATATGGTTTTTATCATTTGCCTAATTTACACAAATAATCGATGTGAGTATCCCAACAATCTTATGGTACATTAACTTTAATTCTCCCTTAATGAATGAAAATATATAAACAAATCACACATTCTACACATTATTGCTAATTTTTAAATTAATTGAAATTTCATGAAATTGTTGAAATGAGTATTTAAAGAAAGTTACAATAAAATAGCTTAAATGCCATTAATTTTGAAGAATGTTCCACGCATTTTTTAATAGTAGCGATTAAACAATGAAAAATTTATTATAGAAGATATGTGCTGTAGCAAATATATTTGAGAATAAATTCTAAAAACTGATAAATTAATCTAATATAAATTATAAATTATCTTTAATAAATGGTGATAAAATTGAACTCTGCAAGTTCATTATACTTATTTACTTTATATCTATAATTTAACCTACAAGGCAATTGAACTTTTCATTTACAAACAGATCAATATCATGATTATAGAGATATAATCACTATTATAGAGACATGCTTACGACGTGTCTCTTTTGAAGTGTCGCTTTTGTGATATGACGTGTCTCTTTTTGTGTTGCTTTGTGATTCAAATTAATTTACATATGATAGGTAAACAAAGAGATATTCTTTGGTCTTTTCCTATCTTGTTGAAATGCTCCATTCAGTTCAAACATAATCACTTCTTCCAAACTGCTTGCTATTGTCAAAAGGTTAGCTCATTCTTCCATTTCAACAGAATATTAAATAACTGATAACAATTAAGACTAATCAATGTATCACTTCATCCTCTCTTCTCAATTACAAATTCATAAATTCTAATAACACTTTCCCCAATTTTACAATGCCATATAACATATAATTCTTAAATGCAGGATTTGATAGCTATAGTTGGAAACTAATCGATAATCTATTCCTTAACACTATTACTATTAAAATTCTAGAAACAACTGCTAGTATTTTCAGGGAAAACAGTTAATATCTACTGCAAAGAAATACTCTGTGAATTAATTTCATTTAAACTATAAATAGAAAATTTCTAGCTAATAAATAATCCAATAGCGTGATTGTTATTAAAATAATACCACTTACTTAATTATTAAAACAATAGCAAGCAGTACATGCAATCAATCAACCTTGGCTTTTTATTATTTTGAAATATAGCTAAACAGGATAGAAGAATAAAGAAAAAAAGATTTCATTTTTAATTTTTAGATTTTAACCATTCTATAAGAAATAAGAGTTAATTTTGTTCTGCAAAACAAGCAATAAAATAACAAAATTCAAGATTGGTAAACATACCAATACAATGAATTTTACTCCTTTCCTTATTTTTTTCTTTTTTTCTATCCTTCTTTTTACAATTGAAAAGTGGGACAAACGGAACTGTAGAAAGGGAGTAAAGAATGAGAAATGAAAGGGTGAAGTTAGCAAAATGATAGAACTATCACTACCATTCTCATATCGTCACAACCGGATTACTGTTCAAATAAAGACAGAAAATGAAAATGAAAATTTTTGGTTCATTTACAATCCAGTTGATTGTTGATCACCACTGTACTTCTCTAATATCCATCATAAAACTTGTCATGTCGTATCCTGTCACACAAAAACAATACTCAACTTTGTAAATAAGTAGCCAACTGATTTTTTCCAAACATTTAAATACTCGATGATTGTAATCATGATAAAATGTATGCAGTTTGGTTGTTTACTGATTTCCTATTTTGATATTTCTTGCTAGTATCTTTTCCATTTGTGGAGCTGACTTCGACCTTTCTACTCTTGCTGTTGTTGTTGTTGTTTTTGTTGGTAGTGCTATTCCTATTGCTAATATACTACTACCTAATCAGGAAAAAAGTAGCAAAAACAATTGGCAAAGGAATTCATACAAACTTTTTTATCAAATAGAAAATCGATATTACATATTTCTGTATTACGTTTCCGTGATAATAGGTTAATTTGTGATAATCCGTTAATCTGATGCCATTATTGTTGCAGAAATATGACAACACAATTGCCATTTGATGTATTATGAAATTTGTTTTCTATAAGACAAAAAGAAAACAAAATTCGAAAGTAGATTTTTTGAAAGTTTCAACTTCTAATTAACTTAGTTTAGTAAATTACCTGCTGAATGACAAAAACATTGTGATTTAAACGTGATGCTAAAAATAGCATTTTATTGATTTCTCTTGCTTTGTTATTTTATCACTTATAACAATCACTGAAGACAAACAGGTAACAGGAAGGAAAACGACCCATTCTAATTAGTTGAATTTAATACATCATTATGAACTGAGCAGGTCTCATGTCAATTACATTGTATCATTGAACCTCTCTCCTTCCCTCTCTCCCTCTCTCTTCCGATGATTGTGTCACATGACACCAAACAACCTTTGTCTGTCCACATTTTTGCAATGTTTAAATGAATAGATCGATTTCTTGTAACTATTTCTCTAATTTAATTGCATGAAAATAGCAAAGCAATCGTGTTTGAAAGGACGTAAATATTACTCAAACATTTTACCTTTCTTTCGCATTCCTCAACCGATCTTTCCACGATGAAAACTTTCCTTATAGAAAATTTATGCAACATTTGCAGGTATAAGAAGAAAATAACAAAACTATATCATCACTTTGCTAACTGTATTTCATGCAAAAAGACAGGAGGGGAAAGAGAGAGAGAGAGAGAGAGAAGAAGGAATATTTTCCTCGTAAATGAAACGTGAGGGTTTCCGGATCTAAGGATATTCCGGAAAGTTTGCATATTAGATAGTTATAAGGAAACTTCAGTCTGCAATTCTCTTTCGATGACAATTTTAATAGTGATATACAAATGTTTAAAATTAAATGATACAATTGAGTATTCTGATTTACTTCTTTTTCTCCATTTCTCGTCTTATTTCCGGTTTTTTTCCTATCTGGAATATTTAGCAATCACATTCTAATTTAATTTTTTTTCAAAGGATAATGATGCAAATTTGAACAAACAGCTAAATTTTTTTTGATGAAATATTTATGTTAATAGTGCGCTTTATTTCTTTGTTTTCTTAATGCCTAATTTAATTCTTTTTTTTTTTTTTTTGTTTTTGAATAAATTTATTTAAACACTCTATCTTAAATAATACTGTGACTAATTTTTTCTTTTCTTTTTGATATCAGCAGGGTAGGCTAATAAAGTGTTTGATTGCTTATACTCCATGAAAGAATGCTAGTGAGAAACACTTTTTCCATGAATCTATAAATAGATTAATGCACTTTGACCTGATTAGAGTAAACTTTAGTTGATAAATTGCTATCAGATATGCTTAAATAGATGGAATTTAATATAAAAGCAATCAGTTCCTTAGATTTGTTATCATGCATTTGTTTACATTTTTTATTAGTAAAATTTATTAGTTCAAAAAAAAAAAAAAATAGAAAAGAAAATTGTAAAGTTTTCGTCCATCTTTTCTGTTTATTTTTACCTACTTTCATGTGTTCATATTTGAAGCATGGAACTGATAAAACATTCTGTGTGCATTATCACTGCTATACAGCTTAATGCAGTGTTCGACACCATATGAGATGGAACGATTATGCGTCACTTTCTTTCAGCTCTTATCATTTTTATACTTTCTAATGGTACAACTGCTCAGGATTTGAAATGGTATCAAATTTCCCATTCAAAATTCTACGATTAAAATAATAATAAGAATAATAATGAAAATAATTCCTCAAATATGAATAATTGATGTGTTGGTTTATAAAGATGTCACAATGTAATGATATATTATCAGAATATGCAAAAAGCAATAAATGGTTCTTCTGTAGTGGTGGTACTACTGAAAAGTAATTCAGGTTGTCAACAGGGAGATGACATTACCTTTCAATAAGAAATACTTCTTTTTTATGTTAAATTTTATCGAAATTTTCAAGAAATATGTTAAAATGAAATCATTAGAGAAAAAAAAAAAGGGTTTTTCACTAATCAATAATAAAGGTATGAGAAAGTTTGTCGTGTGGAACGTGGATGCAGCTGTACGATATTTATAAGTGAACCGAAATGTTGCTGTGTTGGGCAATCGGTTAGTGAAATACCGGGAAATTTAACCGATAATGTTCGCCGTCTGTTAGTCTTCTCATTCTTAACTTCTTTGTTCTATCTTTTTTCTTGAATTTAATAGAAATTTATAAGATTAAGACAAGACAAAAGAAAGTTAAGTATTATTTGAGGGACCATTTTGAAAAAAGCCATCGGTTGTCTCAATTTGCTTTCGTGTCAACACGAAAGAAAGAAAGGAAATGAAACGATTTAATAGTAGCATACACATTTAAAAAAACATTTCGTTTTTATTTTTTCGTAGTTCCTCAAAATACATACACAAAAAAAAACAAAACAAAAAATTCTGGACGCAAATTATTATGGATGTATATAATTTAAAAAATTTAAACTTATTTTTTCAGATTACTCTATAATGTAGGAATTAGTCATATTCGTGAAAATGCTTTCAGTAGGTATCAACATCTGGAGGAAATGTTTGTTTCTTTGTATTTGTTTATTTTCTATTCCATTTTGTTAAAGATGGAATATTCGAAAAAGATTTTTTTTTTTTTTTTACAGTGAAACCTAAATTTGTAACTAACATTTAATACAATATCTTATATAATATATCTTCAAATATTTTAGCATTGTATGTGTTAAAATTTTAAATTTTGTTAAATTAATGAACAGAACAATTTGCAGTGTTATCGAAGATTCGGATGCATTACAATCAATTAACGCTGATGCATTTGGCAATCTATATAATCTTGGCAAACTGTTAGTTCAGGTTTCAGTCTATTTCTTCTTAATTACTTTAAAGGTGCACATGTCGCATGACCGATAAAAGGCGCAAATTGCTTAATTGTTTGTCATTTTTTCAGATCTGTCAGTGGATGTAAAAATCTAAAAGAAGTAACTGGAATTCTACTTATTAATAATACAAGAATCTTAACATTGTAAATATTTGAACTTTCCAATTATTTTCGCAATGGTTTTATGTAATTATTTCTTGGTTATTACATAACAAAAGAAGACTAATATTTTTAATTTATAAATTATTGATTTTCGCTTGAATGATTTCTATAAGATTAATTGAAAGATAGTTGAATGATAATAAAATAATTGATCAAAGGTGATAACACTATAATCATTATTTCTGGATGATGAGCAACAATGGTTTGGTACGTATGCCAACGTTAGAGATGACACCGAGACATCGATTAGCTATGGAAGTAATCGATTTCTCCTACAATCATATCGAATATCTCGGAGATGGTCAACTTCGAGCTGTTCATGCTAATAAAATTCGTCTTAACAATAATGACTTACGTGAAATTGGAAGTCATATATTTGCTAATTGTCGATTTTCATTGTTGTATGTTTTATGGGTCAAAGTTGAACAAAATGCATCCAAATGCTGTAGTAATTTATAATTATTCATTTGAAAATTATTTCATGTCTTAAACGCCTTTTAACTGATTTTTATTCAAATTACAAGTTTTTGAATACAAGCTATAATTCATGCCTATTTTTATAGAGAATTGAATGATAATTTAGAACTTAAACGCCTTTCAATTGATACATTTGCCGGCATATCATTCATTAAACTTCTGTAAGTAGTTTGAAATTTATTAATTATATTCCATTTTTACAATAAATAATTACAATATCCGTTTTCTTGATTCTCTCTCAACCATTTAAATGATTAAATTATGCATTTTTTGCAGATATGACTCATTTAGTGTTCTACTTGAAATCATTTTACATTTCAGTGATCTTTCACGTACCGGTATCACAGAACTTCCAACGACCGGTTTATCTCGTTTAGAAGGTCTAAAATTAAAGGATACTGAGGACCTGAAAAAATTGCCACCAATTTTGGCTTTTACATCATTGAAAAAAGTTGAATTCACTTATCCATACCATTGCTGCTTATTCAAAGTAAATTTCAACCTTCAAAAACGATAGTCATTATTTGCCACCGTGTTTTTGTTCTTGTTGACATCCATTCATATCTTCTGACACCACATTAAATAGAATTCTTTTTCAGCAAGAAATAAAGATTTTTTTTTTTTGGTAAGCAAATCTTTCTGGTAAAATTAGAAAATTGCCAGAAAGCTCATTAATCTTTCTCTGCTCTGGTTGCAGTATGCCTCAAAGGAAATCAGTACAGCTGGTGAAATGTACACGAAAAATCTGGAAGAGATTCGAAATCGTGAATGTTCCGCCAAATCAACCCCAAAACTCAATCGCTTGCGACGACGGTCTGCGCGAACTGATCGCTCAATATTGCTTCCACAAGAATCGCGGGAAAATCCGCTAGATTTTTCCGATTTGTTACAATGGTTTGATTCTGTCAATGCTGGTAATATTACTATTGAGGTATATATATATATTTTTTTATGTTATATGAAAATAGTGCCAAAAATAGCACATCGATTTTTTTTATCGAAGAAAAAATTCGTCCAATTTTTTAGATATGTTTTATTAATATGCTAGCCAAGTTTTAATGCATGCCTAACTTTGCTAATTAAAGATAGACGATGACTGGGACACATTATTGGAGCCTGAATTTGAGGACGCTGATGTTGGACTTTTGACGACTTTCAATTGTACATCGAGTGCTGTTAGTGATTTCTTTGCATCTATCCAATGCACTCCGATGCCAAATGCGCTGAATCCTTGCGAAGATGTCATTGGGTAGGTTGAATAGTCTTGAAATCATTCTTATTCATTAACTAATAATTATATTCCCAAGTTTCAAGTTCTATGCTGTAGTAATTAACCAATGTGTCACATACATCGTTGATGACATTTTGGTCAATGGTAATAATTTTTACTTGCAGCTATGACTTTTTACGTTGGGCAATATGGTTTGTATGGATTTCGGCCATTGTTGGTAATGTAGGCGTATGGATTGTGCTATGCCAAATGGGACAAAAGAGAATGCAAGTCCATTATTTCTTCATGGCTAATTTGTCCACTGCGGATTTGCTAACAGGTTAGCCAAGGAAGGTATTTACCAGTTGAAAGAGTGAAAAAAAAGGTTATATTAAATGCAAAATTTGCTCATTAAAGGGCGTAATTTGGGCTGAAACAGATCAAAAGCCTAGAAAAGTGAATCTGTTTGAAATACATTTCGTAAAAGTTATAAAAGATTGGAATTGAATGAATTTAGTACTGGATAGAATGACCCATCAAATGCTCACTGATCATATATTGGAGATCGAAAGTATAAAATTAGGAAAATATTTACTGAGAGCAAAAAAGGGCTAAAAGGCGGAAAAATGAGCTAAAAATGAAAGAAAATAATTATGGTACTGCGGTAAAACAGGAGTTTATCCTTACGTGATGCATTGATTAATCAGTACCCTTTGACCTGGTCATTGAATCAGTAATAATAAAATCAAAAATGATATTTGTAGCAGTGCATTTTTAGGTGTTTATCTTGGTGTATTGGCAATAGCAGATTATAAGACATCAAATGAATATTATAATTATGCGGTTGCATGGCAAACCGGTATTGGTTGTAACATAGCTGGTTTCATTTCCGTTTTCAGTTCCGAAATTTCCATTATGTCGATGTTTCTGATTGCTTTTGATATGTGCTATAATATCAGGTACAAATATATAAATCATATAATCCGATTTGAAAAGAAAAGAAATGAACATATTTGATGACAAGTTAAAACATTTTTAAACTACGTCGAAAGAAAAAAGAAAAATTTATTAGGAATGCCTTTTACGGAAAACGTTTGCGGATGAGAACTGCGATAATGATGATGGCCGTGGCATATCTGATAGCATTTACGATGGCAGTACTACCAATTATAGGTGTATCCACGTATACAAGCACCAGCGTTTGTTTACCTCTTTCCATTGAGGATAATTTTGACCGGGTATTATTTTTCCAGCTGAAATTTTTTCATCAGTTTAATTTCAGATTTCAAAAATTTTAATTGAAGCTATTAAATTCAAACCATAAAATTCAGCTATTAAATTCAAACCATAAAATTCACTTGAGATGTGAGTTAAAATTTCAAAATAACTTCAGTTGCATAATCGAAATCAAAAACTAGTGTGATTAACAGTTATCAGTTGTTTCATCTGATTAGAAGATAATTTAATTCAGTTGCAGATCTATGTAATTGGCAGTTTGTTGTTCAATTTGCTTGCATTTTTGGGCATGGCAATTAGCTATAGTTTCATTGTAAGGATGCTTTGTGATCCGGAACAACCGAAGCGATCAGAAGATAAAGCGATCATTCTGAAAATGGCAACACTAATTGGTACGGAAATGCTTTGCTGGTTTCCGACTCTTTTTTTCGGTAAGCTAAACAGTTGATTCATTCTTCCTATTTTCAATCGAATATTTTATCATTAAAGAATAGTGATATCAATTGCTTTTAAAATAAGTGGCAGGTCAGATGAAGCCTTTGTTTTTTTTTTAAAAAATAAAATTTTTTTTTGAAAAATGCGCTTCATGAAACCTTGTTACTTTTTTTCTCTTATAAAATTCTTTTTACAGGTTTAACGGCAGCACTGGGACATCCTCTTATTAGTATCAGTGTGGCGAAGATATTTTTAGTACTATTTTATCCGATTAATGCATTTACAAATCCGTTTTTATACGTATTTCTTACCAAAATTACTCATATACGACCATGTTGGATATCATTGCTAAATAGTAAGACACCAAATGACTCCAATGAATTGAAGTAAGTTTAATTATAGAAATGTTTACTAATCTATATGTCTACATTTCATCTATTTAAATGTGATCTAACTCTTCAAAATATCACTACAAATATTCGGACAACATTCAAAAATTTTTAATGAGTTTATTTGGATGCTGAAAAGTCATTTTGCATGTTCCATCACTATCACTCACATCTGCGAACGATGGGAAAAGTAAACGAATCGGAATCGATGATTGAGGTAAGCTTTTCTTAACAGATCAATTTTGGAAGGAAATTTTGCCAAAATTTCTGGATTTATTTAGGTGAAATAAATTTAAATCGGAACAGAATTACAAATGATTATATTGAATACAACGTAGGTACTATAGGAACATGGATTGATCAAGCAAAATGCATATAGAAAATCGTATGCATAATAGAACCTTCTAAAGTAACCCTGAAGATAAAGAATTAATGAGTTGTAATATCGAGAATCGCAGCATAAAAGAGGTTGTAGTCTACAGATTTCCAGAATGATGTTCGACGACAGAGATCATTGTTGGATTTACGAAAAGTCTTTAAGAATTACAACGTGTACAGGTACGTCATACCTTGATGTACATATCTTTCATATGTTAGCAATAAATGAGGTAGATAAAGCAAAACAAGACTAAGAGAAAAATGAACTCGAGATTTGAAATTTGTGGCAATGTGCGCCATTTATTCTTTCGGTGTCTCTTTCACATACTGAGTATGAATTTCGGAATTTGCAAAAAAAAAAGATCATGAAATTGAATGAGTAGAAGCCTCACGCAGTTACTTCTAAAATAGGTTTAAAATTTAGGTCACTACCCTCGTCAACGTTCCACAAAGAAATGTCAACTCATGCAGGTGCACAATCTGAGAAACGACCGCTAATTTTCAATGAACGATTACGAGTTTCAGCAGTACCAAGAATGAGTGATATCTCAGAACATGTTGTAATGGAAAAGAATATAACCCCGAATCTTTTGTCTCATAAAACATCAAGTTTTCAACAAGTAATTAGTATATTTGAATTTAAAATATCTAAAATCAACAAATAGCTCGCTCGTGAAGTTCGTAAATTCAAAATTTAGTGGAAATTTTAGTGAAAACGAGAAAGAATCATAGAAATAACAAATATTTCACGAATCTTTTGTGAAATTCTGCTTTCAGCAACAACTACCGACAGAAAGACAGGATTGTGTGGTACTGCTGAAGCAGCTACAGAGTCGACGAGCAAGTGTTCGGAGTACCGGTAAAGACAGTGGTCGTGGTAGCTTGACACCACCCATTCCATCATATCGTTTTCAGTGTTTCTCGAATGAATCTTCTACTTAGTTCATCTACTTAATTCATTCATTAAAATGCACTATCATATTGCTTCGGTCACTTATATCTATTCCTTAAATATTCATTTCTCATGAAAAATTCTATTCTGGCATCTCAAAACTCTTTGAATACTCTTCGAATTACTAGATTATTAGTGACGAGACGAGGAGAGAAATTACTAAATCTAATTTATAATTCTATCTCTCGATGGAAATACTATTAGAGCTATTAGAAGAATCTTTTATTTTAATAAGTATAACACGAGACAAAGCCTTTAACATGTTGTTGGCCAAGATTTACATAAGTAATATTTTTACTTTCAGTTAACATTTTTTTTTTCAACAGAAGAGGAAGACAACATGTAATTAATCAGTTCTGCTTTTTCACGCACTTATTTTTTAGATGACATCAAACATCAGACGTTTGCTTCTTCAATATCATGATCCCCCGATCTCAGGGAATTATTCTAACTAACAACGACGGGATTGATAATCCTTGACTTGACACTCTTCATTATTTTATTTCTATCAATCCGATAAATTTCCTTCAATGTTAATTGTCCATGTATTAAATGGCTTCTCTATTGATTTACAATTATCTTAAGATTGATTTATTCACTGACTGGTCATTTTTTGGTCAATTAATTATTTATGATAAAAGTTATATCATTTAATCAAATTAAAAAAAAAAAACAGATATCTGTATCTTTAACTATGTTTTGCCTTTTTCTCATTTTCGATGATTCATCGATATATTCTTCGTTAAGAAAGCGGGAAATGAAAAGAAAAGAAGAAGAATTGAATTACAATAATTTCTTTGTTTATCCACTAAGATAGACACTTACATCTTCCAAATTACTCAAAGTTCCAAGCATTTCAAGCGGTGTATTAAGCACAAGTAAGATTGGAGTAAATCCTACAGGACAATGTGATTCTCAACAGGAACTAAATGTCAATGATTCTCGACAGGACACGTGAGAAACCCGAATCACACTTCAGCTAGGTATTCCGAAAGGACAGGCGACATCTTGAAATCTGCAACGTTCCTCCCTGTCAAAGAAAAGTTCGATTTAACGATCATATGGGCCGTGTTTGTGATGTGGATTGTGTGCGGTGTGTGTTTCAGAGGTGGTTTAGTAATTTACTGTCTTTGCATCAGTCGGGATCTATTCCCGTGATATTCCAGTGAATTAGGAGGGTCGAGTGGTGCTTAAATTAGACTAAAAACTTTCTTGCGGTCCTTTGAAATCAAACGTTGCATGACTCTATCTGTCGCTCTATCGCTTTATTTCTCAACTTTCTATCGATTAATATTAAATTTTTGAGAAGAAACAAATTAATTCAATAAATATTATGCCTTACAGGTATTAGATTTTAAAGCAAAAAATGGTATTAGCTGACTTGGGTCGGAAAATTCGTAATGCAATTAGTAAACTTGGCCAAGCAACAATCATCAATGAAGATGAGCTCAATGCAATGCTCAAAGAAGTCTGTGCTGCATTGCTGGAAGCTGATGTTAATGTACGACTCGTTAAACAGTTGAAAGATAATGTCAAGTAAGTGCCTATTAACAATTTTCAGCATTCTGGAAATATGTTCCTCTTCTAAAAAGAATAATTCTGAGAACTCAGATATTCATCTTTTCGTTTCTTTCAAGAAACATTGCTAACTGATTATAACCATCGTTAAAGTTTGGGTATTGTAGATAGAAAATGGTATTCTGTCAACTGAAATCAGGAACTCTAAGTTTACGTAAAAATTGAAAAACGATTAGTGGAAATTTCACCAATCGTTTTGAAAGAGAAATTATAATGAAGCCATTGTTATTATTTTTAATATTTTTTCGGTTTTGTTTTTAGAAAGACTTTGGATTTCGATGAAATGGCAGGTGGTGTTAACAAAAGACGACTGATTCAGCGTTGTGTTTTCACTGAATTAATGAAATTAGTCGATCCAGGAGTGAAACCTTTCCAACCTACAAAAGGAAAGCCTAATATTTTCATGTTTGTTGGCCTACAGGGATCCGGTAAAACGACGACTTGCACCAAGGTTTATTTTTATTTCGTGAAAAGAAAATGATACATTGTGCACATAAATACCGTGGATTTCAGCTTTTGAAACATCATCTATTTTTCTAGTTCGTATTGTTATAGAGGTTGTTTCTAGTTGGCATACTATTACCAAAAAAAAGGTTGGAAAACATGTTTAATTTGTGCTGATACATTCCGTGCTGGTGCATTTGATCAGTTGAAACAAAATGCTACAAAAGCGAGGATACCATTTTATGGAAGGTTAGTCTTTTTATAATTTTCATTAGTTTTTACCTTCATCTTACTATGTAGATTGTCAAATCAAAATGCATTTGATACATGGCTTACTTGAGATTTAAAATTGCCTGGTATACTCTTAAATTAATACTTTTTTGCATTTATTGTTTTTTTTTTTTTTTTTCTTTTGTTAAATTCATATCGAATCACTCTAGTCTTTTAGTTATACAGAAATGGATCCAGTTACTATAGCTGCAAATGGTGTCGATAAATTCAAAGACGATGGATTCGAAATTATTATTGTCGATACTTCTGGTCGACACAAGCAAGAAGCTTCGCTTTTCGAAGAAATGTTGCAAGTGTCGAATGCAGTGGTGATTTTTCATTGTTGTACATTTCATTGTGCTAAATTTAACAGCTTCAAAACTGAATATTTTCTACGTTTAGCCTCATACAATCTACAAAAAAAGAATAGACATCCCTTGAGATCAACCACACTTTGAGCTGAACTCCATATTACCAATCTGGAATTGTACACTGGTACTGGTATTTCTTTTCCAGACTATATCAACCAAAAAAGTTTTTTACTTAGAAAATGAAAGCATTCAGTGTCATACTGTAATGTTATTAAGTCCTCATGATCGTCAACATTTACACTCCATATCTTTTTGTTTCAGAATCCTAGCAATATAGTCTTCGTTATGGATGCTTCGATTGGACAAGCTTGTGAAGCTCAGGCTCGTGCTTTTAGTGAAACTGTCGACGTTGGTTCAGTGATTATCACCAAATTAGACAGTCATGCAAAAGGTGGTGGAGCTCTTTCAGCGTGAGTTTATGTGAGACTTGAAAACTTTTTTTTTTTTCAGTATTAGTAGTAATTCAATTGAGAGGTACTTTTTCATTATAGTGTAGCTGCAACACATTCTCCTGTGATATTCATTGGCACTGGCGAACATATTGATGATTTCGAGCCATTCGAAGTGAAACCTTTCGTGCAGAAACTGTTAGGCATGGGCGACATCGAAGGTCTTGTGAAAAAGGTTAATGAAATCGGTATTGAGGATAACGAAGAACTTATCAAGAGGTTGAAGCACGGTACGTTTAATTTCCTTTTAAGATTTGAAATTATTTAGCTAAATTTATAATATGTGGTACATTTGTGTTACTTTGTCAATATGGCAATTCACAAATAAAAGAAAATGAAATAGAACTGGTGCTGATGACATGAACAAAGCTGGATTACTATATTTCATATGCCTGAAAAAATGAGTAAAAGTTCATAGAATTTTAGTATTCATCAGCATTTCCAATTCTTTGTATTCAGGTCTGTTGGATCGGATTCTTTTGGTTTATATTAAAATATTATATTCCCTCACATATGTCTATTTTGGAATAAGAGTGAAAATTCTTTGCAAAAAATTTATTTCAGGGATGTTTACACTGCGTGATATGTACGAGCAGTTTCAAAATATCATGAAAATGGGTCCATTCAATCAAATTATGGTTTATCACTTTTCTATTTTGAACATGTCATTTTTTAATAAGATTTAAGGAATCTTGTAGTTTTAAGTTGCATCTCTTAAATATAAGAAACTAAAAAAATTTCATGCTTTTTACTAATTATTTCATTGGTCTTCAGAGCATGATTCCTGGATTTGGACCAGATTTTATGTCTAAAGGTAACGAACAAGAGTCGCAGTCCAGGCTCAAGAAACTGATGACTATTATGGATAGCATGTCTGATGCAGGTAGTTTTCATGAATTGGAATTTAGCATAATTCATTTATTGGCACATTAAGTTAGAATTAAATTGAATTTGATTTAAGGAAGTAAAAATGTTATGCAGAGAATAAAGATAGTGGGGAGGTGAGTTTGCTCTCACTCAGTGTTCATTACTGCACTGATATTGCGAATTTTTTTTGTAGAATTAGACCATCCAAAGGCGAATGATTTATTCTCAAAAGAGCCTGGTCGAGTTCAACGTGTGGCACGTGGAAGTGGAACAGCAACAAGCGAAGTGAAAGAATTATTGACACAGTATAAGAAATTTGCTGATATGGTGAAAAAGATGGGTAGCATGAAGGGCTTATTCAAGGTAATTTCTCAACTTTGTTTTTATTTGATAAGTCTTTTCAGCGAACAAAAACTAATCTGTGTATTTAACCTATATAACTGCATAATCCTGTAGTAAGTTTTGGTTGTCTCTTTGATCCATTGTTTACTTAATTTTTAAAACTACTCTTGTTTTTACTCATTGCAGCGATATAGAATAGGTATGTAATACATGTATAATTTACAATAATTGCAGAAAACAGAGTTGCAATTAAAATTTTTTTGCTACGATTTTATGCGATTAAAAGAAAGATATCTGTTCTTATTTTTTCATTTCCCCAAAAAATCATCTCCTGTTTTCACAATTATTATTCATAATTAACAAGCTGATTGTTTGTTTACTTACTACTCATTTATTATTGTTTACTGGTTGCAGAACGGTGATATGAATACGAAAAACATTAATCCATCTCAACTACAAAAGCTCAATCAACAAATGGCAAAAATGATGGATCCACGGGTGCTGCAACAAATGGGTGGTATGGGTGGTTTACAAAATATGATGAAGCAGTTACAAGGCGCTTCTTCTTCCCTAGGCAATCGTCGAAATAACTAATATGTCTACCTCATAGTTCCTTTGGAATTGTTGCACTTGGTTCTGAGCTCAGCGAGACTAAAATATTAGCTTATGAAGCGCAGTGGAATGTTTTAAGATTTGTTGCGTATTTTCGGAAACTTTGTACATATTACGGATTAAAAATGTTTATTCATTCTATATACTGTTATGTGTATCTGATATCGAAAAATCAGTACTGTTTTAAAAATCTGTTAAGAATTCTACGGCAGTAATTTGTTTGAAAAGAATATAAACTTTTTTTGATGAAGTTAGTTTCATCTGCTAGGCATATAAATTGAACATAATCAAAAATCAGTAATTCTTTCTCCAGAAACTATTTTTAGGTTCATTTATTCCTTAAGTTTATTTTAGGATTTCGGGAGATTTTGAAGAAAATTTATTGGTTCGAATGAGCTAAAAATTTAAATCTAAGCTAAAAAAATGTAAATCTAACTAAAGAAGCTAAAAATTTAAATCTTTACTGGAAATTTGCATCATTTCACGTCTTAGTATGTCATTGCATTAACAGGATATTTTCATGAAGGAGTTTGAATGAATCTGAACAAATGGTTTTTGATTTGAAGCTATGAAGGACTCTACACTTCACTTGAAAGTCTTCTGATAATGAGATATTTGGTGGTGCCTGTAATTTTTGTATACAGTTTTCAAAACAATAAAGAGATCTTTACAAGAGTAATGATTGTACAACTTAATTTTTATGATTGGATGAATTCAGTGGATGGATGTAGGACAGTCACCTTGATACTACTTATGTCGGTAACCGAATTATTATTATTTGAATATTAGTACGACAACATGGATATGTTCTTACACTGCACTACATAGTATTTCAACTTTCCCCAATTGTGTACTATTTTACAATTAAATTTATAAATCGTAGCTAAACTGGGAGATCTTAAATGTTCATCCGGTGCCTCCCAAACCCCGCTCATGTCATATTCCAGGAATCATGGCTTTGTTTATACTAATATTATATAGGATTATTAGTTGCCCTAGCAAAATGAAAGGAGGATAAGTGCTTGGGCGGCATCGATTTGTTGTGTGTCTGTTAAGAGAAATCGCAACTGGCAAAAGCGCACTTCGAAGATGCGTGCCATTTTTTCATTCTATCATTTCTCATTCCAATCTTCCTTTTTCTTTTCTTCTTTCAATCCAATTTTTTCATTTTAACTTTTATTGTTAGTTTCCACAAGTTCGTCTTTTAATGATTTTAAAGAGAATTTGCGTATATCTAAAAGAAAAACATTATGCAAAGAATATAGTAATAAGTAGGAATTGAGAAATATTTTTTAAGCTTTTCTTTTTTTTTCCACTTAAAACTACGTATTGTATACAATTTTATACTTATAGGCAGTTATTTTTGAAATAACAAACTTGAAATTTTTAAAATACTATAATCATCAATAATTGTTTGCATGAATTGCAAACTTAATAACCGGTTCCTATCTATGTTTCTTCTAGTTTCTCAGTTCAATACTGCCGGAGAGTGCAAAAGAAGCCAGTATAATAGAAGTTAGAGGGATATTGCATTCAATCAATTTTTGCCTAAAAATATGTGCTGAATGTTACAATTATTATTTAATTTTGGTGTGCGACAATTTTGATAAGAATTTAAGAATTCTTCTTAATCGTTTCGGATAAAAGAAATATAATTATTTACTGAAATAATGAATTAATGAGTATAGAATTTTCATGATTCCAATTTGATAAAAATAATTTTGGTAATGATCATAAGCTATCTCAAATGGTATTCCACTTTTGATGAGAAATAATTCATCACTCTTGTGTTATTTATATTACGAATTGCTTGTCAAGTACGTATATCCGATAAGGTTGTCTTTCTTGCACTGTTCATTACTGCTATTTTTGCACCTAATTTTATTAATCTACTGTTTTTATTTATTGAATAAGTATATTTGATGAAGTGTATTATAATTTGAGTTGTTAATTCCAATTAACATTTGATTAACGCACTTAGCAAAGATATTACATTGATCTGATAAAATGCATATCAGTTAAATTAATTATTTCAGCCTTATCAATTATTAAGCAAACATAGCTGTAAACGTGAACAGTTAGAAGCATTCCTCACTGACTTTATTCCTACTTCTGAATTATATAAAGTATTGTATGTGACAGTGCGCCAAATCTCAATTGCTCCAAGGTCATCGTTCATCGTTGCTCAATTTTAACTAAATTTCATCTGTCATGCGGTATATAACAGCTGTGATATACGCTACTCAAAGACGCCACGCCATCAGTAACTAAAGATCGATCCCATTAAACGTGTTTTCAAATCACGTACATTCTACTCTAATAATTTATAATTAAATTCTTTTTTCTAATAATTAAATTCTAATCAAAGAGACTATAAATAATTTAAGGAATTGAATAGCTGAATATAATAGTAATAAGTTAAGATAGGACTGTAACAGTTATCTTCCGGAATAAACTTTATATTAAATATCATTTCATTTTTGCTAATACAATGAGAATGAATGAATGTTACATGAGATTTATTATTTTCATCTTGTATAATGATTGTTTTTTGCTTGTTAATTATATCATTAAACTGTTTTGATTTTATGTTACATAAAAGAGAGAGAGAGAGAGGGACAGAGAGAGAGAGAGAGAATAAAAAGGGAGAGGGAGAGAGCTTCATAATTTTGATGAGTCATTGCAATGTTTACATTTTTTCCTACTTCATTTCATTCAGTGATGATTACATGAAACGGATACTTATTACTTTCAAGCAAAATCCATCATTTCTGTTTATTTCATAAAAAAAATTAAGCATATCATTAGAGAAGATAAGCAGACACAATAGTGTTAGTGTTGTCTACTTAGACTTGCAATCTTATCAATTTCACATTAATTTCATCTCTGTTCTATAGCAACTGCTAACAAACATTTCACAGTTACTTTTTTTTCTTTGAACTGAATTATGAAATATTATATTAAATATTTTTATATTCATATATAAGCGTAATTGACGTATTATATATAGGCTTGTCTTTTTATTATTTACTGTCACATACGTGCACTTTACGTAATCGTTCACTGTTCATACGTGAACAACAATGTATTGTCATAGTCGATACTGATTTGCATATATATATATATATAACTATCCAGTCATTCCTTCTTTATCAAAATTCACTTCTTTCATCCTTTTTTTTTCTTGTTTTTGTTGCAAATTATAGTATTTTTTCTTCTGCAAAACAGACAAATACTTTTTTATTGTTTCTCATTTAAATAAATTACTTTCGTTTGAAGTATTTTAGAGTCATAACTGAGAATTTGATATTCTCCAATAATTGATAATAAATTTGCCAATTAAATGAATGTTTGAAGAGAAATTATACAGCAGGTATGGTTGGTTGTCTACTCTTCTCACATCATATGGTCCATTTTCAACACACAACAATTCGATGCTTGTTATGATTCTTTGAACTGAAAAGCTCATTTCATTTCGGATCTGTGCTCAGGGAAAAAATGTCATTGCTACCAATGAAGAGTCTATCCGTTTCACTACCTGTATTGTTTATTGAGGCACGTCTTCAGGGACCACCTGATATTGTGTTCTCTCAAATGGGTATTTCCTTTGATGCCGATAAATGCAATGTTGCTCTACTTAGTAAGTTGCTTGCTTTGTTTTTTCTTTTTTTTTTCTCTCTGGATTTTTTTGAAATTTTAATGATTTGAAAAATTAACGTCAGATTTATAATTCTTCAATCAAATATATTTATTATTATACTTTAAAACGAGAAGTTGCAAAAAAGAAAAATAGGAAGCGAATAAGAGTATAATTAATAAAGCTGCTCAGTTAGTTCACTGGGATGATTTATCTGGTTCGGATATAACGTTAGATTTTTTCTAAATGTTTAAATTGATATTTCATTTTCGCTACAGCTCCTATCCTTTATTTCATCGGACGGAAATGAATTAAATTCTTGAGATGATTAGGTCGATATTGAAATTTTTTTTTTAAAAATGAATCTATTTCATGTTGATCCACATCATATTTTCAAACAAACAACACTTTACCATATTTGACAAAGGCATTTAGAAAGATGGTTTAGGAATTATTCTAGGAAAAGGAATTTTTGTTTGGCATGAAGAACAAATTGATAATTTGGAACTTTAACCTTTGAAAGTTTGTAAAATCAATGTGAAGCTTAATGTTTACTTTGCAAATTTATCGTACATTACTATGTGATCATATTATTTGATCGATATTGAGATTCTTTTTCTTTTCAAATGATTCTTTTAAATGTGATAGATTTTCCTTACTACAGTACAATTGCTCTCAAACAACATTTACATAATATCATTAAAAAAAATACTACGTATAATTTCAAGAAAAAAAATGCAAAAGATTTCATTTAACTCTTTGATGCTGAGAGCACAATTAATAATTAATTTAAGCGGTATTGAATAATTTCATCTTCAGTAAATCTAGAATGCTTAAAAGAAAAGATAAATGAAAGCTGAGTTATAATTTTTGTTGTGGAAAAAAAACTGAGTTAACTTCCTTTTTGGTAACTAACTCCGAAGAGAGAATTTCTGCTTCTTTCTGTCATTACTTCACTAATGATACTTCTTGTCATAAGACATGACCGTTAAAATATCTGTGAAAGGTAAATTTAACTTTTAACTGAAATTTTTTAAGAAATAGGTGTCTGGAACAGCTTAAAAATATGTTTTATCATATTTGCTTTTATCATTTTACACAAATTTATTTGTTTGATCTATAGTAAAATTTTTAAATTAAGTGACTAATATTTATTTGCTGCTTTATGAAATTGAAGCTGGAAAATAAGCATCATATGCCAAAGAACTGATGTGTTTTAAATTGTTGTATTGATAAATTAAAGCATACAGGTTCTCGCATTCAAAATTTAAGTTGATGAGTTTTGTGGTTGTAAATAATCATAATTAATCCACGAAGATTAATTCATAATTAACCTGCAGATTGCAATTGTCTTCTTGATTAATTTTAAAGTGATAACTTAAGTTCGGAGTCTGCACATATTGATGCAAGATTCTAACTCTTAAATTTTTCCTTATTTTTCAACAGATGGAGGACGGGGGGACGGGAGACGAGAGTAGCTAGAAGATACACTGAAAATTTCATCCTGTTCAGATCATGAAATTGCTATCATTGAGTAATTTTTTAATCACTTTACTGTTATCATCCAGTATTATTCATTGTGAACTTATAAAATCCAATTTCCTCATTGAAGCGGCAGATATTTGATATTATATTTAAAGTCTCGAGAATATACAATACTTAGAGATGGATTTTTCGGCTTTTTTTTTCTGGAAAATAAGTACAAGAAATGAAAAAAGTTGACGATTAGCACAGTAAATGATGGAAAAACATAATGAACAATTGTTCTGTTCAGTTTTTCAACTTCGCAATTTAATTTTCCATTTTCTGTCATTAGCTGTATTTTTCAACACTTAATTATCTATTACTAAAATAGAATCATTTTGTTATTTGATAGTTATAAATTTGTTTCTTAAAAAGCTTTGTCACATGTAGTTTTGATTATAATATTCAGAAGAAAAATTAATCATTTTATAGTGCATTTTATTAATAAAAAAAGGAGAAAAGAAAATTTTAATTGTTAACATCGATCCCTTTCAACATAATTTTACTCTTGTCACTGAGCTAAATATCACTAAGTTAGACACTAAGCTAAATCAATCAATGATTAGAATAGTCATCGTTAGTTTAAGCTTACTTATGCGTATGAAACTAGAAATGCCAGAGATATTTTTCATTTTATCTAGAAATGAAGAAAAAGCTTATATTCTGGTTGTAAAATGCAGATATATTCAGTGATTTAAATTCGTATTACTCCCCGTGGTGATGAATTGATTACTCCTTAGAGAAAACAACTAATTCTCAAATTTCAGAAGATGAATTGACCATAGAAATATTGAAATTCTTTTTTTTTTTCTCTTCTTTAAATCTAACTCTTTCGGTCATTTTTTCGTTATTAAAATCTTTTTAATGTCATTCTAATAGAATGCTAGTCGAATAAATTTTTAAAAAAATAAAAGCGAAATAAAAAATCTTTGATTTCATTACTTTCTCAAAAGATCACATTTTTGGTTATGAAATCGTTCTCTTTGTTTAATCATTTAGTTTGACTTTTCCCATGTTATCTTTCGAGGATGAAATGAGGCTTATAATTAGAGAAATTAATAAACTTTTTTACTCCTTATTTTTTGACATTTTGTTAACGAAGGAAAAGAAAAAGTTCAAATGGTTCATTTATTTTAAGCTAAGCTAATTTACTGAATGGTTTAGCTGTAGGTTACTTTTACTCTTAAAAAAGTCAACTTAAAATTGAAGAACAAGACATAAATGTGTGATATATGTGATCCAAATTACCAAACTATATTACTTGCAACCTTAGCAAAGTTGAATTTCTCTTTTAATAGATTTGGATTTTTCCTTAGATAGAGAATTTAGAAGTTTGGGAATTTGTTCTTCGTTCATAAATCGACATTTTAGTGCGCACAAGCGGTGTATTACTGGTTGCTTCGGTTGGTTCTTATATGATGTATCGAGTTTGTTCACGATTTTTGGGGAAAAATTTCGTTTGGACAATTTTGGAACAAGCACGTTTTGACTTGCTTACTCGTAATGAGACGTATTTATTGAAACCAAGAATGGTTAGTTCTAGACTTTTTTCTTTGTAAACCTTATCAATGTTTTGAATTAATACTGTCTAAATCTGTTTTCATAGCATTCTGACTTTTACCATAATTTCGGCTAGAAATAATAGTTCTTTATCAGTCCTCTCATCGTTTTGCTTTGTGTTAATCACAAAAAAAAAAAACTGAATCTGATTGCCGTTATTCCGGATATCTTTAAAATTTAAATTTATATTTCTTTAGCAAAAGTCATGACTGAAGTCAAAAACAAACTTGAAGAATATCTCAATAGGATTCTATCTAATTTTTTTCTTTTTTCAGTCATATATAGCCAGTGATGAATATGATAGCTGTTGCTCAGCAGATTTGACAGATGATGAACAGAACAGTTGCGACAGTCATGGCTTTGCAACAGTGCCATCCTCGGCATGCTTCAATTTTTATGAATTAAATTATGAGTATCGATGTAAAATTATCTGTTAAAATTCTCAGTACTTCCATATATATATACGTGCATTGAATTCTAACCATTCAGGATCACTTGCGACGAACAAGACAGCTTTGCATTGGCTCAGTTAAAAGTTCGAGAAAGCAGTCAAAAATAATTTCAGAGCAGTAAGTTTTCTAATCATATTTTTGTGTTGTTAAGGATATGTGCATAGTGATAAACAAGGGCTTATTATATAGTGGATCTCGCTTACTTTTTATTGAGGCTTTTTATCTTTGACAAGTCTCGAAACATCACACACAATTACACAATATGTCTACTATTGACGCATGGTAATACCAATTACTCAACTTTATTCATCACTTACGTTACGTTGACTCTTAGTTAAAATGATATGTTGGAGTGTTTTCTTGGCATATTTAATGCTGCTTGCTGAATATATATCTCATTTGTTTTTTGTTTTATTTTTCATTTTCCTATTTTAGCCTTTCACTCACTGTTTATATATATATAGCAGAAATTTGACTATTTAGTGAAACTTTGATGAAATTGAGTTAAAAAACTCAGTTCCATTAAAGAATTAGAAAAAAATGTATTATAACTTTTCAGTTGGAAATATTCCGCAAGCATAGTCTCGCAAAGTTCTTCCAATGCAGAATTTACTTCAAGTGAAAAGTCTGCTTCGTTGCATCTGCTCTGGGATGATCCACAATGGGATGAGGCAACCGATTTTTGTTTTTATGGTATTCATTTAATTCATTTCCACTGGTAATAAGTATGAAAAAAAGATCCTTATTCAGCTTTACATTAGAAGAAAGAATTACTGATTAACTGTCCAGGAATTAGATTTTTTCATTCCTAAAAATAAATCATCCTTAAAATACTTAGTCATAATAACTAAAAGTGTAGTGTAATAACGGGAACTCATGTTACGAAGATTAAACTTATGACTTTATTCTTGGGAGGTGATCATCAAGACTTAATTGATAATGTTAGTGTTCTACTATCATATGCATAACTCATTTCTGAATTGCTTGAGAAGCAATTTTATCTTTTTAATTTCTTGCGATACTTCTATTTAATCATATTATCGTTCGATTAAAGACTTTCTTTTGAATAAGAATTTTCATTTTTCTTTAAAGGATAGGACGGACGAGAGAAAGAAAAATACCTCACTCTTTCATTTTTATAATTAATTTTCAGGAAGAAATAATGTTTAGAGGAACAGTTTTTTTTTTATCTCTGTTTAGTAAATCAACGAGAATTAAAGGATGACAAGTCCTGTGTTGGAAGTTAAAATTCATCCATTTCTAGGTGCAGCAGATCATGATCAGTATTCAGCATCGTCTGATGTTTCGAATATGACCGAGTTTCAAGCTGCTAAAGGATTGTTTGAAGAACCGGATAACCGCTGCAAGGTGAATGAAGAAGACCAAAAGAGTTCTGAAAATGTAATTGATTTTTTACAGTTAGATTTTAGGTTTGTTCCAAAAATTTAGGTTGAGTTTCTAAAATGTTTTAGTCAAAAACATATTAAATCGGCAGTAAATTCTGCCAAATTTCTGTCTATATTTATTTTTTTTTTTCATCTATGTATTTCTTTTAAAAAATTTAGCATATTAAGATTACTGTGATAGTGAAATCAGAAGAGTTCAGGAAACTTTTGAAAAGGATTTTTATAGCTGTATTCTTCTGTTACTTGTCTGCAGTCTATTGATGATCATTACTTATGATCTTTGGAGACTACTTTTTAGATGTACTTTATCAAACACTTCACTTCTTGTCTTTGTAAACTTTCAGTCAAATCGAGAAGAAAAGCATACTGATTTCGACACTAACGATTTCATCCAAAAAAATTGTATGGTCGATTCTAAGCATCTTTACCAGATTACTGCTGGGTAAATTAGTTATTTTCATGGTAAGAAATGTTTTACGTGCTCGATTTGTAATAAGTCTTGAATTTAAAATATCTTACAGATTTATAACTCGAACCAACAGTATATCAGTATCCAGCGAACGTAGTTCCCAATCATTTCCATCTCTGCGAAGACGACTTATTGCTAATACACTGTCGGATGGGTAAGTAGTTACTAACTTCTTTTTAACCTAAGAATCATGCTTTATGAAAGATAATGTTTTGATGGAATTTGGCATGATCGAAGAGCATAATTACGGAAATAGAAAATTGATATTTATGGGGATATTGCTATATAAATGAGTATTTGACATTAAAAGAATTTGAAGTTTCAGGTTGCTTGAATTGGTGCAGCCATTCACTACAACATCGGTAGTTTCATCAAGTCATATGATAACGTCAATGACTGACAGTGGGATTAGCAGGGGGACTATTTCAACGTCCAATTTGCAGTCATCAATTAGGTAATTCATTTTAACCATAATTTATTGAAATCAATTATGTTTATTGGAGTAGAACACAGTGTCTTAAAAAAATGAAAACTTTTTGCTTTTATCAGGACTTAGACTAGTTATTAATGAAAGTTAGTTAGTTATTAATCAAAAAAAATTGAAATGTTCACATAATCAGAAGTTATCGCACTGCTAATTGTTGCGGAAACCCTAAAGAGAGAGCTAATATGTTTACCTTGACCTTTGACGTCCTCTTATTCACGAACCTATCCTCTTAAAATATACTTCTACAGACTCAGGCCTTTTCTTTTCATAATTATTTACTGTCACAAATAATTTCAAATAGTGTCATTCATTATTCCTCATTACTTATGAAAGGAACTATTAATTATTTTTGAATTTTATTACTGACTCAAATTACATCATATATTAATGTAGATCAAATGGTGCGAAAGGTACTTTTGGAGCAGAGATATTATCAAGCGAAGATGAAGCTGTCGGTACGATGATGCCTTGCATATTAACAACAAATAGAAATTCTGTTATTGGGTAAAGTTTGCTCGGATTTCGCTCGCCCAGTGATTGGTGACATATTTAATGAATTCGAAAATGAAAAGCTTTCAGAAAGAAATAATAAAAAAGAAATATGTGAATAAATCCAAACTGGTGTTAAATAAATATCAAAGTTTCAATGAATTAGCGGTTAGATTCAAATTAGCCATATATTATGTATCTTATTTGAGAGAAAAATATTTACCACTGCGGGGTAAATATTTGCAGCTACATTAGGAAAAAGAATACGTGGCACTGAACTTCCGGTATTTCCAGTAAACGTCATACCTTATGCGCGTGATTAGATTTGAAAGAAATGGTTATAGGTAAATGATGGATTTAGTGAAACAAACAGAAAGTTAGACTGTTGAAAACAAAAAAATCTAGCATAGTAACAACTTGCTAGATGTTTTCGTTTTTAGCCAGGAGTCTCTAGCGAGCAAATTAATAACCCGTATAATCTTGACTTTGGTCTATTGGTAACTATACATTTGAAAATTTAGAGAGGATAACATCTAAATCGTGAAATACCGATTAAGCAGAAAGAATTGTTGACGTTCGCTTTCAAGATTTCAAAAAGTCTCATTCGGACTGTAATAAAAGGTAATTGAATTATTAGAGGTTGGCATGGAAGCAGGAAATATCAGTTGATTTCTGATGCAACAGGTAGTGAGTTACTCTGTGATAATCTCAAGAATGTGAAATGACATCAAAAGAATGGAATGTCGAATATTGCTATTTGCTACTTTTAAGGCGGAATAATTTAAATCTAATCAGTGAGGATCGTTACTCGACAACTGCATCCACTCTAAGTATGGAATGGTTCGAGGATGATTTTTGTCCGTTTGTTACAAACCAGAATTTAAGAGGATCATTGAATGCAGATATGGATGATCCATTAGCTGCATGTTTCAGTGGTTCCGGCTCTGATCAGGTGCTTTTTATCAGATGAGTGATAATTTAACAGAGGGTTGTTTGCAGGGAATAGCATTCATTTGAAATAAGGCAATTGATCACTACTAGTTAATGATGCTTAATGTTATAATTCGAGCTTTTCAAATTCTTTTGAAATTTCATTTCCCTGTTTTTTTTGTCTCAGATAATTGGAAGCTTTTCTTTTGTACTCGTACTACTGTTGCTTAAATTTTGAGCAATAACAATATTCGATGGAATACTTCATAGCGGTAAGAACTGAGAAATATTTAACTAGATAGACAAGAAGCATCTCTTTTATGCTAATGAAGATGGATTGAAATATAGATTGATCACCAAAAATTTATCGGTCAAAATCATAGGACAGCAAATGGTTTAGAGGTGAAAAATTAATTGATGGATATGTTTCATTTCAAGTATGTTGTGAATGTGTACTTCGAAGCTAATATCTAAAACGTGAGCTAACTGTTTTAGATGCGTCCAAACAATGCAGGAAGTAGACGAAAACATTTATACAATGTTACACGAGATCTGATGGCTTGGGCGAAAGATCAGTTTGTCACTAAATCTCCTCAGTTGAAGGTATAACTCATTTGAATATGAAATTTAGATCCAAAATTCTTTAGAATTTTGAGCAACGGAATGCATCAAGTTTCTTTTGATAATTTTATCAATCTTTTATCATTTCCAATTTAAAAGGAGTGGAAGATCATGTTAATAATTTACTCATCTTTCTGCTTATCAGGAAGAAAGGAAAGTGGAAGAGAAAAAGAAATTATTGGAATCTTATACAGCTTTATTTTAGTTTATTAAAATTCACAATCATTTCTTCCTAAGTAAAAACATTTTAGGCTCTTCAATTGTTATATACATCTGATCAACGTTGGCGAAGGATCGGATTAAAACGAAGTTCTAATTGTTCCGAACAGTTTCTCAGTTCTCTGCTGCATTTAATGTTCATTCATGGAATACCATTTTTCGGCTGCTCCGATTTTTCGATCATTGCAAAGGTTTCACTAGATTTTATTAGCTTGCATTGAATGGTTGATCTTATGCTTGAATATTTATTTTCCCTAGAATAGCTCATAATAAATTATGGGACCAGAAGAAATCATTTTTCCTCTTACTGATCTCAGAGTGATTATGAAAGATTTCTGGTCCTCAAAGATTAGCAGAGAATACAAGAAATGATGAATGATAATCATGGATGTATCTATGATTTTCTTCAATCTCAAAACATAATCGATTCATAAAAATTATTTGAACAACAGCTAAAAAAGTTGTGGTTACCAAATGTTAGTTTCAGTAACAAATTTATTATCGATTTTTTCCTGAATTTTTTTCTAATCTTTTTTTTTAACCTAGCTTTACTTTTTCCTTTCTCTAACAAATTCATTATATCATAAGAATAGAGTGGCATCTACTAATATCCCTACAGGTAGTTTTCATGTTATTTGCAACTCTCATAAAGTATAGTATCTAATTCCATATTTCATTATGCTGAATATTCTGCACAAAAAGAAAAAAATCTTTCTTAAAATATTTTGCAAAAATTAAAAAATATTTTAATTTCATAATGTAGTATTTGTAGAACTAAAACCTCTTCCTTCACTTTCAAGTTTTTTTTTTTTTATCCAATCATATCAAACATACTAATAATTCTTATTTAAGTCAGTTTTTTTAAAAAAAAAATTAAAATGACATTCAGAAATAAACAGTTCTTCCTTCATATATTTAAATCGGCTCTTCACTTGTATTCTAATTGACTTTGTTACCAGAAAAATTGTCTTATTTTTTTCAAAAAAATTTTTCTTATGTTAGTAACATTTCAAAATGATTTGGAATTTATCTTTCGGCTCTATATGTAAACAAAGTGACAAACCAGAAATCTATCAAAGCAGAATCTATTGATTTAAAGACTTCGGTCATTTAGCTGTCTGAAATTCCCTGCAGTGTCGAAGTTTATCAATTTATGCATCTTAAAGTTAAAATGCAAACTTGTCATCGAACTTTATAACAATTTCTTCATCTTACCTTATTTTACTTAGCAACATTGGGATTAACATGATCTCGACGTAATCTGTCCCACTTCTCATACACTTATATTTTCTTCATTGCACGCCTTAAAATGATAACTGCTTTAAAGACATGTTAGCAATACATAAAATTATATTTTCATTAATGAGTCATAAGTACGACTCAAAGTTTCTTATTATTTTATAGTTTTTATGACGTCACTTCTAGTGTCAATTGAAAATTAATTTTAACTCTATTATGTAGTTTAGTTTCATGTATTATTCTTATCGACGGAGTAACAAAGTGGCAGATACATTCCATGAAAGAACATACACTTTAGATTACTCCAAAAATTTAGATTTGAAAGATGATACAGTATCTGATGCTCATTTTACCTCTTTCTCCGTCAGAGCGATGGAAAACTCTTGGGACTTCCGAGAGGTTGATTTACTATTCAAGTGATTTATGCTTCCGAACTAGCGAGATAAATTTTAAAATCATAAAGTATTACCATCAAAAAAAAACCCTACACTATTCATTAAATTTTTTTAGACTAATGATTCTTGCAACTGAAGAACTTCTCGAGCTCTTTTTTTCTTGGAGTTATTTTTTTCTAACATAAAATAAATTTTCATATGAACTTGGAGTTTCATAGAAAAAAATTTGTTATTTTTCGGATTTATTTCCATGTTAACTAAATTGATAGCAAAGACTAGTTTCCCTTTTTCTACATGATATTATTCAGGGAAAAATCGTTCTTATAGAAATTGGTCGTGCAAAAGGATGTCAACACGTTTGATACCACTTGAATATTGACAATTGACAATATTTCAAATTAAAAGTTTAAAATAAGCTGGAATTTATTTCAAATGACATTTCTTATAAGAAGAACCTTTGAATAATCCGTATTGATACTATAACATTAGATTGTCTTTTATTCAACAGGGAATGACAACTTAATCTTATGCATACTTTTTTCTTAGTAGTTCTATTTTTTCTCATAAATACTTAGTTATGAAAAGTTAGAGAAGTGAATAAATTTACATCGTTGAAAGTTTACTTCATTCGCTATTCCTTTTCCGAAAAAAATGAGAAACATTAAACGGTTTGTAAAAATGATTCATAAATAAATTGAAGCTTTCTTCTGCTGTTTTGCTAACTTTCAAATTTCCGGATATCGTTCATTAATAAAATTTTATTCGAAAAGTGAAATAATCAACCTGAATAGGCAGTAAATAGTTCACAACACTGAAGAGATTCATCCTATCACACTAAACATAGAAGATTTGATGACAGATGAAAAAGAGATGAAAAGCAAACTAAATTTGTTCGGTGACAGAAAATTTCTGCTAAGTACTAAATAAACAACAAGCTAACAAACAAACAAAACAATAAACTCTTTGGTACATCAGTGGATGTGTGTAAGAACAACATGATGATTTATGCCATAGACGCCTTTCAAGGAATGTTAATTTTTTCTTGTCAAATGAGATCGCATTAAATTAGCCAATGAAAAATATAAGAAAAAAAATTTAGGATAATGATGGAAGCTAGCGTTGAATTATGTAATGCTAGGATAATAGTAATTATAATTAATAGATAGAAGCATTTTGTGATATTTGTGGATCTATTTGGAGAGGAAATTGTGGACAAATGAAAATGACAAAATGTCATCAACAATAAAAGCTTCCAGGCACAAAATGCAAAAAGAATGCCGGAAAGCAACACTGCAATAAAATTATTTAATTCATTGTTTAATTTTACTGCCTAAATTTTTTCCAATTAACATTGGACAAATTATTGTATTGAATTGTATCAAAATAAATAGTAATGAGATGAAACTGTGTCGAAAGCTTTTCTATGCAAAATTTACTCTTATTTTTTGATTATTTGAAATGTTTCAAAAAATGAGCAATTTCCGGAAATTTGAAGTATTGATTTTAAATATTGATAAATGCTAACATTCCCAACTTATATTCTTTCTTCAAGAAAATTTTGTGAGATTTTGAACAATTCAGAGTTTGAACAACATGTCTGCTTTTTTTTTGAATTAATAATAATTGATATGATATGACGAGAGAAAAAGAAAAACAGGAATGAAAAAATTAAATAACTATTCTTTAATATCCTTTTTTTTTCAATTCTTCTCAGCGCTGCTGCTAGCATTATCCAGTTTGATCGTCTTCAAGTAGTTACTAAATGTCGTAGCACTGTTACAGCGATCATAACTACAGATGCATCGAAATATGAATTCTACCGATTCTGATGGATCGATAGCGCTTTTTGGGTTCAGCTGACCAAAATCATATTTCTGAAAATAAATTGTTAATTTATATGAAGTAATATGACAGGGGATGCAAACTGTGTACTGTTTTTCGGGGTGGAGATGTGACTGACCCCGATTCATTGATAGTTTTCTCTCACTCATTAGTAATCATTTGATTGAAGTATCAGTTGTAATAATTCATTTGAAATATCCACTATCACAAACCTCTAGGAGGCAAATGGATAGCACTTGATATATTTTGTCCGATGTACTAAATGCTTCGTCGTATGTTTTTGTCCAATCTACTTCTGGACCAATGCCGAATACTCGACTTTCTTCATAACCCGGGATAAATACGCAGTAATCCCAGGATTCATTTGATATCTCGTATACTTTGCCCTGAATAGCAAGTGAAGAAATTAAACGTTTTAATCAAAACTGCTTAGAGTTTATATATTTTTTCTTATAGTTAAATTGTGTCAAATTTATATCATTAATTAAAACACTCACAGATTCATCATTTTCATAACAGACCAAAGCGTTCGTATTAGCTGTTAGCATCACTACTGTTGCGGCTACCCTAGCAAATAGTGTCACCGAGGCCATGGCACTCGTGCTGCAACAAGAAAGTTTTAGTGATTAAAGGGATGAAAAGTAATTCCGAAGCAAAAAGGGATCGAAATAATAGAAGGAAGAAAGTTTTATGGATGTGATGAGTGATGAATGCGGAAGAGACGGTTGTTGAAGAAAGAGAAGTGAATGAAATTTTACTAATAAGTGGAATTTCGAATGAATCTGATACTGAAGAGTTCATTTTCTGTACTTCAATATGGTTTAGCTAAATAATAACCGATCACTCGTAATCGATCAGTTCCATAATCATCATTCTTTTATATGTTAACGAGTAACATATCCATTCTTATCGTTTTGATACAAAAAGTCAAAACTGGGGAGAAATAGATGATTTGAGAGCTTCTAAGTAGGTCTATGTTCGGGAGGAATGTTTTTCTACTTTGCAAAAAGGAGTAACTTAAATAAGCAGGCAAAACATATAACTTATCAAAAATTTCATGCTGGAAAAGCAAGCAAAGAAGCAATCAGAGTTAGTTGTAAATTTTTGCTCAACTAGAAAAAAAAAAAACTTTTCTGGATGAGAAGGAATAATTTGCGAATTTTGCAAAATGATTTATGAAGTAGTCGGAGCAAGAAACCACAATAAAAGCTAATTGTGTAAGGTCTACTACTCCTACTCCTACTGTTACTCCAACTACTACTACTACTACTACTGCTATTACTGCTATATAATTAATGCTAATGTTATAGCTATCTATACTTCTATAAACTGCTAAAATTACTTACTAATCATGCTACCACTTTAACAAGTACTTCTAACCGTTACAGCAATTATATATTACTGTCATTGCAATAATGACCCTCTCTGATACTATTACTTTTATTATTGCTAATACAAATAGCGTTGCTGTTAACTTTTACCGATAGCTTTACGCAAATATTTCATTGTTCATTTTTTACTAATACCTTTCATTATACAATTTCAAGCATTCCCATTCATTTCATTTTATCTCATTTACCTTTTTGCTAAATGAATTTTCATGAATTGAAACGTTGAAGTCTGTTGGTTGTTTTTTTTTCTTTTTTTGGAATTTAAGTGCATTAAATAATTTACAAAATGGCTTATCTTATTAGTGTCCCCTTATAAATAATATAATATATATATATATATATATATATATATATATATATATATATATATATATATATATATATATATATATATATATATATACATATATGGTGCTTAAAAATGTAGTGTCGTTGTTCTAATGATGTAAGATAGATAAAAATCTTCTAGTCATTAATTCTTATAATCTGGAGAAGTAATCGTCGATCGATTTTTATCCTTAAGACAGTACTTAATCCTTAAGATCTTAAAACTGTACTTAATTCCCTAGCAAGATGCAATCTTAATTCCTCAACAGAATGTGCTTATTTTAAGTAGCATGCACCCATATCAGTCCCTTTTTTGATTTGAGATGACATTTTTAACCCATAAAACATCTCCGCGAAGCTTTTGAACAGATAGAAATTGCAATGTGGAAAGTTAGTAATCCATAAGGACTGAAGTGACGCATTGAGAAACGTCAACATTCCACGACGTACAAGAAACCAGGAATGTTATGCTCAGCAGAACGACGATTATTGTTCCTGTCCCCCCCTCCTCCTTCTCGTCCCCATATCACCACTACCCACACGATGATATCCTGCTCCGCCTACGGCTTTGGCTATAAAATGCCACGCCTCCAACTTTTTTCTCACCTATTAAGATTTAAAAAAAATCTTATGTGATTAAATATTCTCTGCTATGATATCAACTGATAAAAATGATATGAGGGAGCCATTCACTCTAACTGACCTTTTAGAAGATTAGCTGTTCTCTTCTACTTCAGTTGGAATTTAGATTCGTCTAGATCTTTTCTTTTTAAAAAGTTTTTGTATGAAGATAAGATGTATACCAAGAGTCTGGCTAATGATCATTTCCAATGAGAATTTTATAATGCAAATGAGAAAAATTTGTATATACGAATATACGAAAGATTACTGCGATTTCGGACTTTGTAAAGCTAATAAATCGATCCGATTGATCTCTTAGCAAATAATTATATCGGTTTTAAATATTTCAAACTGATCAGAAAATTGATTCACAAATTAGCTCAGATCGAAGAACAAGACAGTGCAAGTAAATGATAAAAAAAAATCAGATCATCTAGCTAAAAAATTCGTTTTGAAGATGTTGCAGAAAGTCAGTCATTCATAATTCTATTGCCAGTGGAGAAACAATATAATTTATTAATGCTTGAAAGTGAAATTTTCTTAGCTTGGAACATAAACTGAAAACTTTTATTAACTACTTTTTTTGAAATTATAAAGTTGACGTAAACTAGCAGATATCAAAGAGTAACATAACTAAGGTAATCTATTGTCTCTTAAATTGAAAACTATCAAAAAGCAATATAATTATAATTAAATTAACTTGATTCTTACGTAAGTTATTGGATTACCTATATTTCACATTATTGAATGATACATAGTGTAATTATGCATTTCAGTGAATTGCAAATGATCCTATTCAACTTAGCTTTAAATTGTAAATTTCTATTTCTGTGCACTCTGCTGACATAGGGGATATTTCACGGAATGAAATTTTCTCTTTTACATATTTCCTTTTTTTTTCTCAGATTATAAAAGAAATAAATGTAACTGTAGGAAGTCCTCATATCTTCATATTTGCAATATTCAGGAAAAAGGAAAGAAGTATTTCATGAAGAAAGCTAATAATATGTATTGGACAAAAAAAGTCAATGAATAGGTAAACAAGGTGCTGGTGAAAATAAATCGTTGCATATGGTAAATAGACAGAGGAATGGTAATAAATTAATAAGACAAATAAGGAATTACTTATTATTCACTAATGTAAATAATAACATTGTTTTGTTTTATAATTCATTGCAGTACTTAATAAAATTCAGTAGTATTTTGAAAAGTACATTTAAGAAATACAAATTATTGCTTTACTTGGTTATTTTCGTGATTTTATGTAAAGTAGTAGGTGAAGAAAGGATAAAAGGGTCAGGAATATTTGCTATTATCATTCTCGAATTACTTCGTTTTTTTTTTTTTTTTTTTTCCTACAGTAACGAGGGAAAATCATTTCTCTTTTCTAATGAACAAAAATCAGCAGATGGAGATCAACAAATGAATTCTGCATGATTCTTGCGCAATACTTGCTATTTAGCAAATGATATACAGCTGCGAAAAGAAGTCTACATAAATTAGAAAAAAAAGAAAGATTGTATATGTAAACTAGTTTAGACATTTGTAAGAAAATAATTCAAAACTGCAAAATATTTTCAAAATTTAAAAAAAAAAAAGATTAGACATGTAAAAAATATTAACAAATGTGCAATGACTTGTCGTTTATTATAATACATATGGTAGAAAAAAGAAATTAAATAATGTTTTTTTTTTTTTCCTTTTTTGAAATGATCATGTCTAGGATATCTACTGAGTATTCGAACACAAAATTATGCAATAAAAAGCTGCACGATTGTAATTAAAATGATTAAGTGATTATGACTGGAATTGTTATTTCGAAGATATATTACTGTAATCATTGGGTTAATTTTTAGTTAATAATTAATTTTTCTATTCCTGAAAAAAAGTGACTTCAATAAGTTTAATTTCTCTAACTTATAGCCTTTTATCATAAGTTCAACTCTTCTTAATTACATCTCCTATCTTATGCTCAGAATTTTTAGCTTTTAATAAATATCTCGAAGCATAATGAAATGTGAAATGAATTTAATATTAGATATTTCATTATTTGTTATTAAAATATAGTATTCATTAACATTGTCTTCTCACTTCTACAATTTGCTACTTGCAGGCTGTTCGACGGACCTTTTCACATTATGAATTTGTACGCCAATGTAGTTTCATCGATGAATCTACCGATGTTAAAAATAAGGAAGAACACGCAATTAACCTTCTGCAAAATCTATGGGATTTGGTATGTTATGTTACGAAAACTAGAGGATTTGTACAAGTATTTAGACTGAGGTTAAGAAATTGAAAGAATTGAAACGCGAAATAATCATCATTTAGTTCTTTCTTACAATTAAAAGAAAAAATGAAATTTTGCAAGACTTCAAATAAGCGATTAACTACTTGCTTCAAAATTTACTTTTCTAAAAATTATCCTTAACAGTCAGTCTAAATTATACTTCATTTCGTATTAAATTGATGAATCTTTCTGGAGAAATGTTTTTTATCCGGTTTCGGCAGCAATGCAGTTTGTTAAACTTGTTCTAAGTTCAGCTTTTCATTTAATTGTGAATTCCAACTTAGAAATTTCTACAATGCTCACTACCTAGTCTAGGAATAGTTCCGCAATTCCTTCCTACTCTTCTTTTTCTTTTTTCTCTCAAAAGCAAAAGCAACTTGTTAATCAAGAGGATAAATTTCATTCTTATCTAAAAATGGTTTAGCTAAATATATTGTTCATTTTTTTAAAACTATTTGCACTTATTTACTCTTCAGTGAAAGGAAAATGGGAATATTTCATTAAATGCTCGGGGACATCAAAAGACTGTCACATTCATCCGAAAAGGACGTTCATATTATGCATTTAGTGAAATATTGAACTTTCTATTTCATGCATTCACCTAATTACTAAACTTTTTTTTAACAGTTCGAGTGATGTAAAGATGAACAATAAAAAAAAATTAATAATGGATAAAAGTGAAGCGAGTAATAAAATGACTGCCATATTCTAAGTGATCGGATGCATCCAGAATTTTATTCCTTAAACATGATTCATTAACCTGAGTGAATATAGAGGCAATTCTCAAAATTGTTTCTTATCATGAAAACATAGCCAATTAAGTCAAAGTTTAACAAAATCTGGGTTAGAAAAGCTTCTCAGCTGATGCATTTACATCATAATTAATACGATTGAAATATTCAAAAAATTGCTTGAACTTGTTTGCATTAAGTAATTTATTATCAAAAATGGTTTAAAAGGAAAAATGGAATTTTCATGAGACATGATTCGTTTAAATGTTTCTCAGAGCTGATTTCTTTAACATAATGCTGCTTCTTGGAATATTTGTATGGTTGTATTTCATACAAAAATTTTTTTCTAAATATATTGCTCGAACTTCATTAGCAATTTGATTGCAGTGGCATTTTTTGAAGAGTGTTAAGTCTCATTTCATATTTTTATATACGTACGTGTGCGTCTTACTTATAAAGTTTTACTTTTTCTCATCTCAATAGACATCGTTGTTGACAGAAGAGAAAGTATGTTTGCAACGCAAATGCATATACTACCCAAAGTTCAATGGCATTAGGTTTTCCTAGTGTTGTTGAGTTACAGGTGAGATAAGGACGATCGATGATCTCTTAAAAAATGGCTCACTGCATTCATTGTCAGTCTTTTTAACGAACTATTTTACATACTTAGGTATTGATTAAAAAGATAAATTTTTTTATCTCAAAAATTTCTTATTTTCACCACAAAATTCATTGCAGAATTTCATGGATTTCCATTTTCATGCAGTTTGCTTGATAACAAAAAGGACAGATAAATAGTCAAAATTTAAAAGAAACTAATGTTTCCGACGTTTATTACATACTTTTAATTTCAGCATTCTTTCACTTACTGAATGCATTTCAAAGTTCACTTTTTTGCGCCTCCAAATGTTTTAAATGATTTTGAAACTTTTTATTTCATTTTTTAATCAAAAGAAAAAGTTGGTAAACCAATGAACATTAATCTTTATGTCTAATTTCAGCGCACTTTTTTCGAACGCGCCTTTTCTGTCTTCTTTTTTCTTTGCATCCAGAAAAATTTTTTACTTAGCGAATTTTTAAAAATATTAGTCCGCTGTTGAGATGTTATGCAATGTATAGTTAATGTCAGGAAAAATTTAGTAAATTAGTTTGTAAATTAATTTTCTTCCTTTAATAAATAATAACTTTTCTTAAACAAACTGTGCTTATGATTCATTTGTTTTTCTTTCTTACTCACAATGTCAACTTTTCTGCATCGGTGTGACTAACTGATAGAATGACAAAGAATCGTAGTGTTTTTATCATATTATCAAATGATATCAATTACGCATCTAACATTCATCAAACATTGATGTCATAAAATATATCACTTCACAAAAAACTTCAAAATCGTATAATCTTCCAATGTATTATACAGGAAGACAAAATTCTTTAATCGTTTTACACCTTTAATTTATTTTTACATTAGTTTATTTATAGGGAAACTTTTCTTGTTATCAGATTATTTCCTTTATTTTTGTTTTGTTAAGACTTGGTTAAGAATTAAGTTAGTAATTATTACTTTGAAATCATTTCTGCAGATATTAACTTTTTTTCAAGCATCCGGAAAAGTTGGAATTATTTGATCTAATTTAGATAAGTTTGTAAATTTCAGCAACATGGTGTGAAATATTTGGAGGACGAAATAGTTGAACGTCATTGTATGGAAGCTGTTCAATTGTTAGTATTACTTTGGATTGTGCACTGTTTCGAGAAAACAGAGGCAGGACAATGGCTACAGCATTGTCCAATCTTTTATGCTGAACTTTTCGGCAACAGCAATCCACGACAGATTATTCAAAACTTGTACAAAACAGACCTAAACAATGTATGTTTTTCTTTATTGAATTTTATTATTGTTTTTTATATTGTGTTTACATTGTATAATATGCAAGTAGAGAAATTTGTCACTGTCGTTGATTTGTTTTTGAGCTTTTGACAAATATGGTTGAAGTTTGGGTATTTCTGTGTTTATATTTGAGATAGATTCTTACAACTTGCAATGTTTTGATCAGATTCAAATGATACTTCTTACTGATACGCTGAGGATACGAGTGGAACTACTAGATTGTAGCTGCGGTGATCTGGATGCCGAACAATCTAAACTACCACAGTGTTTGGTGCCACAACATACGGAGAGAGAAATCACTTCCAGGCCTATTCTTACCTTTCTGAAATTCAACCGTCATAATTTTTTATATCCATTGTATAAAAATTTAAAATAAATTATTCCTTTTTAGTGAATATATCATCGAATTACTTATAGGAAATGTGTGGCGTTATATCACACCAAAAAAAAAAAAAAAGAAAATGATGTAACAAACTGCAAGGACATGACATTTATTAATCTAATCAGTCATCAGATAGAGGCCTAAATCATTCATCTGATAGAGGAGGACTCAGCCTATCATCTTGCTAGTGCCTGACCTTGGCTGAGAGGGCGCATATTTTATCTTCCAAAGATTAGACAGTCGCATCGTGGTAAACTTCCTTCTTGAAGGTTATTCTTAGATTTGTCTATTCGACACTCTCAAGAGTTTTTTTATGATCTAGAAAATGTTTTCCTTCAGAATTTTTCAAACCATCATGTTGAAATAATCCGAAAAGTATTTCTTTTCTTCCTTAATTTCATTTTCGTCCGTAAATTAGAGAAGTTGCCTAAATTTTAACGTGAAATATGTGGAAACTTAAAGTATTTTTCGTTCAATTTATAACTACGAATACCAGAAATGATTTGCATTGTTGAGTATTATCATATATCATATTATTTCCGTGATTTGATCACTTTTTGTTATAATAATGAAATTACATCTGAGTCATTCATCTATTTATTGGACCTACCGGTATATGATGTTATGCGACTTTTGTTTTTATTCAGTATATCTTAAAGAAAGCAAAAAATAAAGCACACATCTTTCTAAGTTATGAAAATTGCTTAAATTAAATAGTTATTTAAAAAATCTCAAATAATAAGGATGGGGGAGAAGTGTCATTTCACTGAGTGATGTAAATTTTCTTTTTTCATCATCATTATGAGCTGATTTCAATGGTACGAAATTAAGAAAGCAAGAGATAGAGAGAGGCAAAGTAGATATTGTAATTTGGTGCTTTGATAAGTGACAGGACAGTATTCCTCTATGAAATCAACTTTTTCCGAATGATAAGAATTAATCGTCTTCCTCAGGGAATTTTATTCTGTTTGCAGCTTAGAGTTTAGATATATGACGTCAGATGTGTAGGTTTATTTTCTAATTCAATATCATTAGACTTTGAAGTGCTGGAAATATTGCAGAAGTTCCCGAATAATAAGGACGAGAGCGACCGATCGATTGAAGGAAACGAAGGAGCGAGGAACCATTCTTGTCGTAGTGTCATTTGTGTAGTTATGTATTTGGGGGAGATAATTACAACGTTGCTTTGCTAGAAGTTCAAATACAATAAATGAACACAAGAATGTAGCCCTTGGCGCAGTGGTACAGTAGATGTACAATTGCGCTTGCGCAACACCTAGTTTCCCGCTTCTTTTTCCTTTCAAATTATGAGTTGAGGATAGGGGTGGGATAGTGCAATGGACTGATTAATAATAATAATTTCTTTCAGTTACGGCAAACTTCTGAAATCTATTAGAAATCAATGAGGACAAGACTTTAATACCAGTAACAATAACTGTAATCAATCAATAATAGTTGCATCCATTTTGAATTAAACCAGAAAATAATTGAATAAGAATTCTCTTCCATTGTTCCTTTTCGTCTTATGATTTTACATGAAATTAACATGGAAAGTTTTCAAAATTCTTTTAATAAATTAGACTTTTAGGGAAATTTAATTTTGAAAATACCGGATTTACTTCAGACTTGTTGAGGAAAATCATTACAACATTATTTGCTTTAGTAGCATTCAATATACAAACTATCGTTTTACCAAATCTAATTTTAATATAACAGTTGCACTGGTGAAGAGAAGAGAGCTTTGAGGAACATGGCATGAATTTTTGAGGGGTAAAGCATTCACAGTTATATAAAGCTATGTCTACCTAGTGATAGACAAGATTTTTTTAAGCCATTTTTTTTTTTTTTTTTTGAAGTTACTGTCATTTAATTTGATATTAACTATTGCTGGTCATATATGAATGTCCATCCAATATTTCGAAAAATTTTACATTTTCTTTTAACCAAGGATACTTTTCTCTTTTTGATGCGAGAATATCACACTTTCTCATCACATTGATTTCCATTATTTAGATTATTAAGCTCATGTTGATCATTTTTTGGTCACTGTCATCATTTCTACAGGTAGAATCTGATAGAGAGACCTGATAGAAAGTTAAACTGCAACATCTAAACAGTTAAATAATGAAGATCGTTTGCATAAAGTGAATGCTTAATGTTTTATCGGAAAGTCAATACTTGCATCACTTACATCATAAAGTAAAATTGTGAACTTAACAAATTTTAAGTTAGATTTGATGAATTGTAGCGTTTTTATGTAGAATTGAGAGTAGGAATATAAATGTTGGACGAATCACTAAAATCAACAGGGAAACCAAATGAGAATGGCGCAAGGATCTTCGAGACTCCACAATCTGATGGGCAATACATTGCCGGCATTCCAGGTTCCCCTGGAGGACCCCATGGTCCTTTTTCGCCATACATACCCATCTAAAATAGAACAATTGAAATATAATCCATTCAGTTTAACAAATTAGAAGTAGAAATATATGGGTAAAAAATTAAAGTCTAATATTTACATTTCCATCTAGTCCAGGTGAACCAATCGGTCCTTGTTCTCCTTGCTTGCCGGGAATATTGGATCGTCGACCTGGGATGCCTTGTGGCCCTTTAGGACCTATAGGTCCGGGTAAACCTTTCGGTCCTTTTACACCAACACCTGCTGAAATTGTATCCTGTTATGAGATCAGAATAAATTATTCAACGGTTGAATCTAATTTCATCAAGTCATTATTGATTGATACGATAGTATGTTTTGGCTCTCTAATCAAGAATTTACTGTATCCATAACTGAAGACTATAGAAAAAGTTCTAAGATACAAGTAAATTTGTTAGAAAAAATGAAATACACTATTAAGCAGACCGAAGGCATCATCACCAGCCGTCCCTGGAGGTCCAACTGGTCCCTTTTCTCCACATGGCCCTTCCGGTCCACTATTTCCAATTGGTCCATTTTCACCTAACTTGCCAGGCCGACCTGAAGTTCTTGAAATTTCTGTGCAATTTTAACATGCTCTGAGAAGACTTGAGATTTTACGGAAAGTCAGAATTATTTCATACCTTATTTTCCCCCATGACAATTTTGATCAAAAAAATATATGAAAACTAACCTGAAGGACCAGGGGGACCTGGAAGACCTAATCTGCCACGCTCTCCTTGTGAACCGCGCAAACCAGGTGGTCCAGCCGGGCAAATAGAACACGGGAGATGGAATAGCAGTGGTTGAGCCATGACATCTTCACCATCAGTACCAGGTATTCCCATTTTTCCGGGAGCACCCGGAACTCCGTCAACTCCTGGTGGTCCAATAAGTCCAGGTTCACCGATCGGACACATTAAACGCATACATTCTGCATTTCAAGTTAACATTACAGATTAACTGTTCATAAATGGGTCATCGCAATAAAAAGTAATTTGCTGGTAACATTAACATAGTACTTACTATTACACCGTTCGACGGTTTCAAGAAATGAATTAGCTTGTCGTACGGTACGTGTACTACGGCCAGTGATTTGCTTGGCATGCTTTATTTCAATCCACAGAGCCGAAGATCTTCTCTGAAAATGTTTACCAGTTTGAAACATAACAAAATTATCCTTTGTGTCTACAAATGCCTTTAATGAATATAGGGTGGCTTGTTTCACATCTCCAAAATTATGCGCAGTTTTCCTTCTTTTCTTAACATCTGCGCTTTAAATTCTTCTATTTTAGATCAATAATACGAATGTGAGAGAGTTAGATCGGAAGTTATCAATTCAGAAAATGCTGTCACTTCAACAGGCTTAAACTATCGTTTTTTCCAACTGTTTATAGCTAGATTAAGCCCGGATTAATATAATTGAACTAGACTAAGGCAACTGTAACTGCTTAATGTAACCTAACTTTTACCATGAGTTCAAGTAACTTTCATTCATAATTATTTGCAACGTGTAATCGTTATCATCAAATAATGTAAGTTAATATATAATCATGCTGAATTTTTTTTTTAATTTTTGATTTTTTTTTTTTTTTTTGATTTCTAGCGATGATTTCTAGCATTCCAGACCTTAAATGATTCAGCACGTAACTTCGCTTCCAACTGTGTCAAATTTGTCTTTCGCTGTATCACTGCAACTGTCAACAACAAAGCAAATAATGTCAACACCGATGTTGCAATAGTAGCCAAACCAAGCGCAAAGAAACGATCTTCGTTACTGATGAATGAGATCTGTAATATTAATTATTTTACGTTTTCAAATTGATTTGATTTCAGAGTGAAAAATGGAAGAAATTTTAATTTGAATTATGTTATAGTTTCAGAAAATGAAGATATCATCTGCAAAATAGCAGTTAAGATAAAAATTGATACAAAAGAAAACTGATTAGAATAGAAATTAGTTTACATGTAAATTCTGATTTTTGGGTGAGCATTTTTAAAAATTGCATTGGATAAGTTTATTGTTAGGTTAAAGCATCAGTTTAATGAGTTCCAGAAAAGCCTATTTTCAGACTGTTTTCTTTCAGGATGACACTTTTTATTACAGAAATTTCTGCAAATATTCTACAATGATTGATCAGATTTTCATATAACTCTTCTTCCCTCAGTTTACGACAACTTTAATGGACCATACTTATCCACCACATTAATTAAAAGGAAATTTTAATAAATTTGTAGGCATTTTCTTGTTGTTGAAGAGTTATATGAAAATTTGTAAGCATAAAATTTGTAGGCTATCAGAGGTTCTTAAATGATGTTTATAAATTGCTCAAATAATGAGATTAAGCTATTTTAAGGGAGAAGTCAATGTTACAAATATATCACAAATATTCTAGAAAAGAAAAATGTATCCGTTAGTATATATTAGTAATTTGTATAAGTGAACACAAATATGATAAACAAATCGAGGAGTACGGTAAAAACATAATCATTCGCAAACCAATTAACATGTAGTATTTTCTCAGTAAGCTATTGAAAGATGTGCAAGGTAAAAGAATGATAGTAATTTTATAAGAAA